CCTCCTATTCATACAAACAACATAAAGAAGGAAAAGAAAAGTAGTTTGGTATTAGGAAGAGTGAGATTAAACATTCAATACGTCAAAATTCCTAACGTGGTGGCTTAAACGTTTGAATTGTTTTAATTAACTTGGTCCACAAAATGCTTACCCATTGTTCCCGAAGCATCGCTTCCTCCATAGAAGGTGGCATGAGCATTCGTCCACCCGCCGTAATATCCGTATGCGCGGGAAACCGGCACGATTTGCGAGAGCAAGCCGACCACCAGGAATCCTAGAGAAACCATCTCTCTTTGCCCTGCACCGACACGATTTTCATGAGACGTTTTGCTTTGTTGATGCGGACTGAACTGAACCTCATTCTTACTGCCTCCATACCTCAGACTCGGAAGCAAAGTTAGAAGAGAGACGGCAAGAGCAGGACTGTGTATGAAAGAGACTATAACTCAACCCTTTTGAAAGGAGAGAAGATGCACAGAAAATGCATGAGTTTGTGGAAGATGAGGAGGGAAGATGGAGCAGAATAAATAGAGGCTCGTCGACATCACAACTGACAGAAAGTTCTTTGACATCTTATGAAGTACTTGGGTCCATTCAACTGCACATATGTCAAATTGTAGAAAACTTCACATGCACACACACTCTCTCTCTCTCATTCGTGTCATAATCTGTGTTAGTGACTGTGGCAACGATGCAGGCTCGCATTCAAACCTGGTAAGTGTAGTCCTGGATGGGGCAGGCGGGTGACTGACTGTGTCCAACATGAATCCAGAGTGGGCTGTTGGAAGTGAAATTTGCAGGGACCGGGAGGTCTTTAGCTTACAAATCAGCTGCGCAAGTTATTCCCACGAATCTTAGACCGTTAAAAACACGGATCTCACGCGAATCTCACCGATCACGACAGTTCAAAGTCATTTTTCGAGCACACAACATTTTAATATACCGACTTCCCGCACAAATCTCACGGGACGGGAAGAGAATTTCCTTTTTCTGAGAAGCAAAATCGAGACTCGTTTTAAAGGTTGAGTACCCTCTTATGGGCAATTATTGGTCCGTGGCACTGTGTCTTTTCAATTTTTTTTTTGGTTCTCTGGTGCATGGTTAGAATCCACAGAAAAGCATAAAATATCTCTGCAACGACTGCACTTGAGTCAGATAAAGGAGGGATCTTCAGGTCAAAATTTGGCTGTCTTCGTATGGACGTATCGAACCTGTTACTTTGTTGGCAAAATCCAGGAGAACCGTTAAAAAACTTTTTTATCTTGTGAAAAACAAAGATAGCTCGACTTCTCTCAAATGACGTGAAAATGTCCACAAATTCTAACTCGAGCAGCAATACTGTTTATCCTTAAATTTCGCAATTCAGCGAATTTATGTGACGCGTGACGTGACTAAGAGTGATGTCTCAAAGAATCATGTTAATGTGAAGCAGAGTATGTCCTATTAAGAGGAATCAACGCGGTGATGTTTTAGAGAGACCATGTTGTTTGGTTTCTGCTGATGTGTCTGCCAAGTCGTTTGGCTCAACAGGCGCGTTTCTTTTTTTCTTTTTTTTTCGGTGTACGTCGGCACTGTTAGCCACTTCATATGTCACATCGACTTGCATAGAAGGAAAATTTAACGGTGGGTATTTTTATCTCTCGGGGAAAGTCGGTGAAATTTTTTGGATCGTTTGAAAAGTCAAGATATTGTTGTCGCGGGTGAAAATTCTGATATGTTTGGAACTTGGCCTTATTCGTGGCATAAAGGCTTGGAATTAAGGGTAGAGGATCCAAATAAAGGAAATGCATTGGCTCGTAGTTTCTTTGCTTTTTTTGGCTCCAATTCCCATGCAAAATTTTCAGCTTACGCCTTCAAATTTAGCGGGAAATGCATCCGGGCGCGGAGAAAAAAGAAAGGGAAGATTATTAGATGCTCTCGATTTATGTCGGTCCACTTTACACGAGTTATCAAATCATGTCGAATCCACCCGCGGTTGAACGGCTCATGCGGAGGCCTTTGTATAAAAATGATTCACATACCGAGTCTGAATTTCTCCTTGACATTTCCGAGTAATTACGATATCGATTCTATTTCCCATCCAAGGCTTTGGATCCCATTTGAACTCGGTTTGTCTTTCTTACCGTTACTACACATCCTCGATCTCTGGTTCTCGATCCGGGAAAAAAAAAAGCGACACGATGTCCATCCAGCAACCGGATTAATAACAACATCCACAAGTTTGATTTCGGCCGTAACAATAAATACATGTTGATTACAATTGCTAAAAATTGCAAGAGCATGATCATGTTCCCCTGTCTTTGTGGTCCCTTCGTTTAATGAGAGACTTCTATGATCGACATGATCCCGGGGTTAATGGCACATGCAGGTCGTCCCTTTTGACAAGCATGGAATCCAAGTGTAGGTCCTTTCTCATTTATTAACCGTAGGGCACATACGGTTCCCTTAAATATCTCCTTTTTCACGCTCGGAATTTAATAAGGCGACTCTAGGGTTAGGCGAAATCGGTTCGAGAATTCAGAGATTACCACTTTAGGAACTGGAGGTCGCTCATTCAGATATCATCGACCACGGGCAATTGATTCTAGATAAAGCCCACTTGCACGCACTAGGGCATATATGGTTCGCCGAAATATTTTCTTCTCGCGCTCGAAATTTAATAAAGCGATTCTGGGGCTGGCGAAATCGATTACAAAATTCAGGGGATTTCCAGTGCGGAATCGGAGGTCGCTCCTTTAGATATCATCGACTACGAGCATGGTAATTTAGATAAGGTCCGCCTAGATAGACTGAAGGCATGTAATTGCGTGGTTGATAAGTTTTGCAGAGTATTTCACGAGCTTCCATGTAGTCTGGACTCTCTATACTCATCCTAATAAAATAAGAAAAAGTAAAAGATTTAACGAAGCGATATTAGCCATTTGCCTTATTCATTTTAACCGTCCGGTGGCGACCCTATTGTTTTCAAAACTCGGAAATCGCTTTTCCTCCGCGGGCCAGGCGGCTCCGAGCTCGCCAATGCCGAGGGGGGGGACCGCAGCTTCGATCGTGAGCGATGCTGAACAACATCATCATGTGACAGCTTTCTCGCGTGCCTCGAACGTACGAGATTTCGCTTGGACGTGCCCGAGGTGGTGGCGGTAAAGTTTTTTCCTGGTAAAAATCCTGGAGAGTCGCGACATGGTGCAGCAGCTGGGGTGTTTCATCAATGCGGAAAGCTGAGGTGAACTTGGGGATCGGCACGATGTGACCCCATATAACTGTTGGGTTGCTTAGGTAGATCTGGGAGGCGATCCGCCACCTGCAAATCGGTCTGCTCACCTGCCAACACCTGCATGAACCTGGCATATGACATTGCCAAGATGTCCCCTTGCTTCGCCCCTGGCATAAGTTAGAAGCACAACATTAACGTCCCGGTCTCTCTCTCTCTCTCTCTCGGTGCGGGGATTCTGATCTCGATCTGCCGGGCCGAGTGGGGCTAGGCCGGGCAGGGCCGGGTGTACTCCCGTCGGCCGGCTTGGATCGAGCCCCCCGTGCTGTGAAGAAATGCATGGAAAGGATCGGGCGGGCACCGGTGAGCCCATAGTCGAGGGCTCGGCATTGCTTGGCCGCATGTGCCGAGGGATCTTCATAAAGCCGGGTCGGAGCTCCTCCCAAGCCCATCTTTGTCGGCCTACCTCCAGCAAGAACCTCGCCGCTAGCTTGGTAGGAGCGTATAGACACTAGCAGCTGCTGATTTGCCGATAAGATAAATAATATCGTACATCAATTAAATCGAATCTCAATTAATGAAAAATTTGTCGAAATCAGTTAGATATTTCACGAGCTAAATATCAAAAACACACGAAATGGGACTTCTTGATATTAAGGAAAAAAATCATGGGAACATCTTCCACTAAATGTGAGGGTACAGTTTTTGGTTAGGGACACGAGCAAATGGCACTTTCATGGTCGTGCTGGATCGCCGTCATCGTTGGTACACAGAATTATAGATCGAACAAAAAAGGAAAAAAAATCGAGAAACTCATGTAGTTTGTCCTTTTCTTAGGCCGGTAAGTTTCAAATTCAAGTACGTGACTCAATTGCTGGCATAGATGATTGAATATTGTGTTGTTAGTACAAAGTACAGCGGTGTCTTGACATTTGGGCAATGGATTTGCTTTAACTTTTAAAAACCAGATTTTCATTTTATACTAAACGCATCAAACTTTAAACAATATGTTTTGAATTTTAATTTTAGTTAAGATAGATGGCACGAAAAAAAAGAAGAGAAAATTCCAAATAAAGAACTGAAGTGTCTTCATTTTCTCAAATAAGGGTCTGAAGTGGACTTTGTCTCAAATAAGAGTCTAAAGTGCTATCATTTTATCAAATAAGGATCGAAAGTGGACCTTATCTTAAATAAGGGTATAAAGTGATCATATTAGTTTCAAATAAGGACCTAAACTCATCGGCCGAAGGGAATTTTTAATCTTTTACTTTTTTTCCTTTTTTTCTTTTCCTTCTTTTTCTTTTTTTTTTCTCCTCTTCCCTCTGCAGGCCATGCTGGCTAAGCGAAGCCTACCCAACCCAGATGATGTGACCCTTGCTCGATGCTAGCGAGGGCGGCCCTCGCCTGAGACCGGCGAAGGTCGCTAGCCAGGCGCAACGACGGCCGGGGGAAGAAGAAAAAAGGAAAAGGGAAAAAAAAGGAAAAGAAAAGGAAAAGAAAAGGAAAGTAAAAAAATCAAATAAATAAACTTATAAATTTTTTTTTTAACTAAAACACTCGTTCTTCGATGATGGAATAGTCACCGGCCGGTCAAAAGTTCTTATTTGAAACGATCTGATCGGTCATTATTTGAAAAATATAAGAGTATTTCGTGCCTTTATTTGAAATTTTTCCAAAAAATAATACATAAAAAATTTAATTTGATTTTACTTTCAACAAGAAAAGTTCGAACGGGGTCGGCCATGGCGCTGCCAGAGTGATCCCCGGCGACACCAGCGGACGGCGTTTCATGCTCCGACTCGCCGCCCTCTCCCGTTCCCACGTCAAGCAGCAGGTTCTTCCTCTCTCCTCTCTCGCCGACCGTCGTTTCGCCGTCGTTCACGCTCTCGCCGATGACGGCGCCCCTCGATCGCCACCGTCTCCCGGGGACCAGACCGCCGCGCCGTCGCACGCTCCGTCGTCCTCGTCAGGTTTCCACGGCATTGCGGAATCGGTTCTGTCCAGGTGTTCTCGTCCGTCAGAGGGGAAGGACCTGAAGAAGGTGAAGACCCGTGGGGACGCTTCCCTCAAGGACCTTCTTTTCGAGATTTTCGACGTGATACCCGACACTGCCCGTGGTCTGCTTAGAGCTTCTGAGCTGAAACCTCGGGATGTGCTCCGAATACTGTCGGGGTTTTCGTCCGAGGTTGAAAGGGTTGCGGTTGGAGTCGAAAAGGTGGAGTCTTTGTGGGAAGTTTTCAAGTTCCCGATGGAACGGGGTGAGGGGTTTGAGCATCTCCCCCGAGCATACGAACTCATGGGGTCGATGCTAGCGCGGGCTGGGCTACTTAGAGAAGCTGAGTTGTTGCTGCGGGATATCGAAAGCCGAGGAATTCCGTTGGATGGTCATGAAATGTTCAGTGACTTGATTGAGAGGTACGCTGGAGTTGGTGATTTTGAGAGGAGCCTCTACCTGCTTGATAAAATGTCAAGCCGAGGTTTGGTACCGGCTTGCTCTTGTTATTACGCGCTTATTGAACTTTTAGTTAGAAGGAAGAAACCTCAGTTGGCTCTTAGGGTTTCTCTTCATATGATCAACAGTGGAATTAGCTTTGATGCTCAGAAAGTAGACTTTGGTGCTGCTATTAAATTACTTTGCGAAGAAGGCAAAATTCAGGAAGCGAGAAATCTCGTCAAGAAGGCTGCTGGTTGTGGATATGAGCCGTGTAGCTCAGTTCTATTTGAAATTGTTTGTGCATATTGTGAGAAGAAAGACTTTGAAGATCTGCTGAGTTTCTTTGTTGAGTTGAACCGTGCACCGGATGTTCAAGCCGGCAATAGGATGATAAATGCTCTCTGTTTGAATTCTGGCTTAGAGAGGGTGCACCAGTTTAGACTTAAATTGGAGAAGTTAGGTTTCAAGCCTGACGAAATAACCTTTGGAATCTTAATAGGTTGGTGCTGTCGTGAAGGAAATTTGAAAGGTGCTCTTGTTTATTTGTCGGAAGTATTGGGAAGAGGTTTCAAACCAGATATACGTTCGTATAATGCTATAATTAGTGCAGTCTTTAAAGAGGGTATGTGGGAGCATACATGCCATATTCTTGATGAGATGATGGAGAGATGCGCAACACCGAATATTTCAACTTACAAAATTTTCTTAGCAGGGTATTGTAAAGCTAGAAAATTTGATGAAGTTAGGACTGTCGTTGACAGAATGATGAAACTTCATCTAATTCATCTTTCTTCCACTGAGGATCCACTTTCAAAGGCTTTCACAATGTTGGGTTTCGGTCCACTAGATGTGAAGTTGAAGAGAGACAGTGATACCAAATTTTCAAGGACAGAGTTCTATGATAATCTTGGCAATGGACTTTATTTGGATGCAGATATTGATGAGTTTGACAAAAGAATAAATGGGATCCTCGATGACTCTTTCCTTCCTGATTTTAACTCGCTCATGATGAAACAGTGCAGGCATGGAAATCTAAAATACGCATTGAGGTTGGTTGACGAAATGGTTCAATGGGGGCAAAAATTGTCTTTGTCTGTCCTGTCGGCTATAGTCAAGGGGATTTGTACATCTTATCCTTCTGTCAAACGTATAGATTATCTTCTGGAGAAAATGCCTAGATCTATCAGCCAGTTAGATGCAGAAACTCTCAACTTGCTCGCCCAATTTTACAGCAAGAGAGGATGCAGACAAAAGGCTAGGATTCTTTTGGATGGGATGCAGGAACGAGGCTTAGTGATTGAGAACGAGACTTATAACATCTTTATGACAAGTCTTTCTGAGAAAGGATTTCTGAGAGAAATTAGTGGTTGCTTGGATCTGGTTAGAGAATCTAAGTGGGTTCCAGGACTGAAAGACCTTGAAGCTCTTGTTGGTTGTCTTATCCAGGATGCATTGATCAGTGAAGCACTAGAGCTTTTTGAAAGCACTCTTATGGGCTTCCCTCTCTCTAATGTTGTTGATGTCTTCCTTGAGAAACTCTGTGATGCGGGTTTAAGTACCATTGCATATACACTTGTGAAAGAAATGCATCAGAGGGGTTGCTTAATAGAGGATACGGCATATACTCACCTTATAAGGGGATTTTGTTGGGAAAAGAAATACTTAGAAGCCTTAAGTATATTTGATACCATGCAAGCCAAGAGACTGTTCCCTCATCCAGATGCTTCAGTTTTGTTAATTCCTCTTCTTTGCAAAGCAAAAAGGTTTACTGAAGCAATTGCAGTAAACAAGGCTGTGCCAGGAGATAATTCTTCCTTGTCACTTTCTGCTCATTGTGCTTTACTAAAGGGTTATTTTATGGCAGGTGAATTAAAAGAAGCGTCAAATTTATTTTGGGATCTATCCTCAAAGGGAATGAGTCCACATGCTGAAGCCTGTGCTGTAATGGTGTGGGGGATTTGTCAAGCAAACAACTTATGGAAAATTAAGGAGTTGCTTGCTTATATGCTGAGAAGAAATTTGAGCCTCTCTGTTTCCTGTTTTAGGATGATTGGCCGCTTGATGTGCATAGGAGGGCAGGCCCATGTGGTATTAAACCTTAAAGAGCTTCTGGTGGGACCAAGCAACTCTCATGGCCTCATCGTCTATAACATACTTATTTTCTATGCTTTCTCATCTGGAAAGATCTTTCTTGTGAGGAAAATTTTGGATGAGCTGCAAGAGAAGAAATTGCAGCCAGATGAAGTCACCTACAATTTTCTTGTACATGGGTTTTCTAAAATTATGGACTTCTCCAGTTCTTTGCATTATCTATCGATCATGATCTCCAAGGAACTGACTCCGAGTAAGCGCAGTTTGAGGAGTATCATTACCTGCTCAAGTGAATTATCGGATCCTGGAATGTGCATATGGTTGAGTCAAGAACTGGAATCTAGGGGCTGGATCACTCATTCAACCATTCAAAGTGCTGTGGTTAAAGGTCTCCTTTCTCATGGTAAGCTTGGTGAAGCAGAAAAGTTCGTGGATCGGATGGTAGAGAAAAATTTGGTTCCTGATGGTGTCATTTATGATGGTCTCGTCAAGCAGTTGTCTCGTCAAGGAAAAATGAAGAAGGCAGTCCATCTTATGAACATAATGTTGAATAGCCGAAGCATTCCTACTTCTTCCTGCTACGATTCTCTCGCATGTGGTCTCTGCAGAAGTAATGAATTGAAGCTAGCGTTGGATATTCATGCTGAGATGTTGAGTAGGGACTTGAGACCGAGTATGCAGGCATGGGCTGCACTCATACGAAAATGTTGCGAAGTTGGAGAAACCACAGAAGCAGAGAAGCTGCTGGCTTCAATGACACAGGTCGGTGAACTCCCAACCAGGGAGATGTATCGGCTTGTGATAAACAGATACTGCTGTGAGAATAATTCTGAAAGGGCATCTGACCTTGTGCGAGCCATGCAAAATATCGGTTATGAACCGGACTTTGACGCACAATGGTCTATCATAAGCACTTTAAACAAACCAGAGGTCAACGCTGATGACAAGAGCAATGGGGGTTTCCTATCGCGGCTTCTTTCAGGAAGTGGATTCGCTTCAAGAAAATTATAGAAAAATTGCTATGTAAAACCATCCCAGACTTCTTTTGCTTCACACACACAGGCAACTTTTTCGAGTGACCAGATGTAAATGTGCCTTTCTTGAATAGCCCTCTGGTCCATTGATTTCATTCAACATATATTTTCGGAAATATCCAGGAGGAATGTCCGTCGAATGTCTCCTGGTTTGCTTTTAGCCTCTATCAAGGATGTAGAAACATTTTTAAGCAGATGAGTTTACAAATTTTGACTTAGCCAGACAGAAATCTGTGGTATTGCATGCAAACCATGCAATGCGATTATCTTTATGAGAATGACGTTCCTGTTTGCCTGCGAAGGGAGAGCTCGAAACATGTTCTCAGGCCTCTTGAATGAAGTTGGTCGATCCATATCATGAGACTGTACATTGGCAGTTGTGTAGGGCTTCTGATGTAAGTGCCTCTTAACTAGACTCTAGACTTCTTTCTTTTTTGGTCAATCTAGACTCTAGACTTAGGTTTCAACAAATTTTATATGTTTGGCAACAATAGGGACATAATAGAACAATGGTTCAAGGAGTATCAAACTCGGTTTTGTAAAGAGATGTAACAATTGTCATTGAATGTTTTGAATGCATCAATTAACATACTTTTGGTTGACATGGTTCTGTAAGCTAACTTGTGAATCGGCTTCTATCTAAGATTTGACCAGTCTAGGAATAGTTAAGTATTGGCAGACTTGGACTTGGCCTTGCACTTTCAACTTGATATCTGAACATCGAAATTACAACCATTGAATTTGGCAATCGACGAAATTGTCTTTTCATTCTTTCTGCGAAATGTCAAATATCTAACAGAATACACGCGATTATCGGACGAAGCCTCGAAGATATTCTCTTGCTTACTTGCTAAGAAGGTTATGAATATATAGAAGTATGAAGGCAAATGACTATGAATTTCGTCTCCCCATCGCTACGAGTAAGTGGCCGAAGCATTGTCGCAACGAACGGAAGTCATGTTAAGTAGGACGAAGAAACTCTTCCATCACGTGCTGTAACCACTGGTGCTCCGACATATTCCAACTGTTTTATGCATTTTAGTCACAAGTTTCGTAACTAACCTTGTCCACGTAAAACTCCATTCCCTCAAATCGGTCAGGATCATTGAAGTTAGTGAAAGAAGAGGCTTAACTGAGGCAGGAGAATCGATAAGAGAAAGGATAGCACAACAAGAGGGCACACATTCAAGTGGATTTGTTCATATCACTGATGAAGCCGCCTACAACAACAACACAACGACCCATCAAACCTGGCTATATTGTCAATCAAAACCACCAACTGCTCCAATCTGTGCCAAAACTCCACTCAGCGGAAAACATGTAGAATTGCACACAGGCATCAATGATATGGTACTGTACTAAATATGCACTAGTTGTGGATTCTCGTATCTTCCCTTTTTTGTTTAGAAGCCACTTTCCATTTAAGGTCCATAAATAATGGAGTTGGAAGACGCGATGACGCAACAAACGTGTATCTTAATCTTTATGCCCTCATCACCTCCAATGTAATTGAGCTAGTACGGGCAGGTGAGCACTTAAAAAATGCCCTCTAAACTCAGCTTTAGTCAGTATGGTCATGTTACAGACACTTCACCACATGGTGACTCTTAGTTGCTATTGATCATTGGCCAAAAACCTACTGCAACTCCTTTTTGTCAACTTTTCCTGGCATATATATAGATGGTCATGAGCCCTCGTTGTATCCATGCACATTCAAGCTTTGAGCTCTTAAAGTATTCTCCCAAACCCTAGAGAACCACATACCCCGATCGATAAGCTCGTCCTTCGGAAGAAGAGGAGAGGAGAAAAATGAAGTCAGGTGGAGTCGAAGCCGGAGAGGTTGCGAAAGCTTCCGGCGCAAGTTACGGTGTCAACAAAGGAGTGTCGGTTCTCGATTTTATGCTGAGGATACTTGCATTCGTGTGTGCCCTCGGGAGCGCCATAGCCATGGGGACGACGGATGAGACGCTTCCTTTCTTCACTCAGTTCATCAGATTCCGCGCTAGATATGACGACCTCCCAACTTTCACGTAAGCTTTTCGCTCCTTTTGTTTTTCCTTTTGATTGCATTGGCAAATTAAGTGATCGCAACACTCATCTTAATCGATATGGAACAGGTTTTTCGTGATCGCTAATTCCATTGTTTGCGCCTACCTCGTCCTCTCACTCCCAGTCTCTATCTTCCACATCATGAGGAGTGCTGCGCAAAATAGTAGAATTGTCTTGGTCATCTTCGACACGGTAAATTATGTCGATTGGAAGGAACCATTTTTCTTAGAACACTTGTAGCTATACTATATAGGTATTGGTACTCTGAACCAGCATATCTCCTGATTGTAATTCAAGATTTCATCAAAAAGATACAGGGACATGCAAATGTAGTATATCCTTCTTGTTAACATACATTGTCGTAAAGAATTAGGCATGAAATGCACAACTCCACACTGATCAAACAAAATGAGCTCATCCAATTAGAACGGTATGCAACTGTTGCAGGCGATGTTGGCGCTGTTAACGGCGGGAGCTTCGGCCTCGGCGGGTATTGTGTACTTGGCCCATAAAGGGAACACCAAGGCTAACTGGTTCTCCATCTGCCAGCAATTCCACTCTTTCTGCGAGCGCATCTCGGGCTCTCTGATCGGGTCGTTCGGCGGAGTCATCTTGTTCGTGCTCCTAATCCTGCTGTCCGCCATCGCGCTGTCTCGCCGTTGAGCCAAGCTGCATGATGCTGCTATATATGTTATGTTTATCAGTCTGAAAGCGTATTTTTTATTCTAAAGTGTGAAGGAGTGTGATTGCTTTCTTTGCTCCTTTTCAAGAGCTTGTGCTGTGTGTCATTGTGATTGTAATGCAATTTCTTTCTCTCTCTCGTCCAGACTCGTCCACTTGAAAAGGTTATGTCTAATAATCGAAAAGAAGTATATAACCAATAAATTTACAAAAACTATGAAAAGAAAAGTAATCATCTATGAATCCAAAGATGGATAAATAAATTAGGGAATTTTCCGCCAAAACTTAAAACATCATCTATGTCATGTGTGAATCCACATATCTATTCATGGAAGTGTGCGAGCTACAAAATTTGAAAAGTCAAATTTTTCGAAAAGAATTTTAGTTTGTCATCATAGATTACAGGCTGTTGACACCTAAATTTTGGCGTATCATTTAGTGTAATTTGCATAGAAAATTAGGGATTAAATTTTTAACCCCTAAACAAAACTATTTAGGTTGCATAACATATAGTTTAAGTTCATATAGGTTAGTTGCATCCTGCATTGGACCGGCGGTGGCGAGAAAGCTGAAAATTCATCGCGTAAACCGAGCTCGAGCACTCGGAAGACGGGGGCCGAAAATCACAAGTCTAAAAGGCCTTGGTTATCTTAATTTGAGCTTAAATCAGCCCATTAAGCTTAATTAAAGAAAAGCCCAAATCAATTCAGTCAATTTGGAATTCAATAAAAATTAAATGATAAAGCCTAAGTCTAAGCCCATTAGGACTAGGAAGCCCGATTAATTGACTTAGGGTTGCGATATAAATATGTCGTTATGCGTCATAATTAGGGGGGCTTTTCATAATTCCTAGAACACAATTCTTGAGAGCACAGGAGATACATTGAGAGACGGCAGAAAAAAGGAATAGAGAGGGAGGCTGGGGTTGTTTCCTCGGCAACACCCGCCACAATACACAAGGAAGAAGAAGCTGGCGACGGAGTGCACTGGTCATCCACGCTTCACTTCAACAATTCACGCCCAAGTCCAAGCTTCTTCACGGGAGGCCATACAATTCAGAATTCACGGCCACAAAACAGAGAATACAGCCCCGCAGAGGGAGAGAAAAAAAGCGTCAGAGAAGAAGACCAAGAAAAGACAAAAGAGGGGATCTCTCTTCTCTCTCGGTGAATTCTACATCTTCAAGGGGGAGAACACACTTTGGCCACAAAAGAGAAGAAGACAAAAAGAAAGAGTCTAAAAGATTTTCCCGGTGAGACCATCGTGTTCAGTCGCCTTGGTGTGAAGTCCAAAATATTTCACCCGTCGTCCGGTGATTACCTAGCAGCCTTCACGAAGACTCGTTGTCGCGCTCAACAGCCGTCCACGCTTCAGGTCAGGCGAGTCTTCAAGCAATTCCAGCAAGACCCAAATTCATTGCCGCGTCATTCATCATACCACAGCGAGTCTCCCGCCGTTGGTCCCGCCACCACCGCGCGCTCCACTGCGCCCGTCGCCGGACGCCACCGGGAGCCGCCGCGCCGACGCCGCGTCGCCCGTCGTCCGAGTCCGATCACGATCCGCAAACTCGATCCCGAGTCGATTTGAATTTGGGAATTATCTGCAAATTAGGTAATTCAATATTATCCGATATTTTCAGAATATTTAATTTCCTAATATGGGTGTTTGAATATTTCGTGAATATCATGTGGATATTTAGATATCTTAGGATAATGTTCGATATATCCGCAATATCTTTAAATATTCAAAATTAGGAAAACTTCATAATTTAGCAACGTATACGGACGACTATCCGACCTTATCCTAAGGTTCGATACGCGGCGATACGGAAAATTATTATCCTATCCATAACCACTTGGGTACGATAATGATTTTTATCCGCTTTCCAAATTTGAATAATCGGCTTTCCGTCGATATCTATAACCCTATAGATATGACCGATAGTTTGATTTTTGTGCCTAATCCGAGTTTGAAACAAATATGGCGGATCGCGTAGACGTTTTGAATGTGGTTGCTATCCTTGTTTATTTAATTGCTTTCCTTTTCAAATAAACAGAAAATTCAAAAAATATTAATTAGATTTGAATTAGAGTTTTTGCATGTCTAGGAATCCTAAATATATCTAGAAGATAGAGTAGTTATTTAATTTAGATTAGGACTTGAGATGATTTATTTCCTAGTTTAAATTAAGTAATATTCTAATCTTAATAGATTATTCAGGTTATTTTATTATTTCGAATTTTAACAAAAATCCTAAAAGAAATCATGCTAGGGTAGATTAAGTCATCATAGTTTGCATGTTAATTTAGGCATTTTTATTATTCCGAATTTAAATTGAGAAAATACCAAAAATAATCATTCGTCTTGTCATTAGAAATAGGTCACGTCGTCGCACGACATATAGTTTGCATGCTAGGTTGCATTAATCGCATGTCATTTTCGCATGTCATTGCATATAGGCTAGATTTCATTTAAATAAGTGAAAATCCAAAAAAAAAAGAAATTGAGTGAATTGTTTGTTAATTAGAAATCATATTAGGGTGTCAATGTGATTTTCTAGCTAACAATGCGGATGCTTACGTTGCTTCCAGGTAAGTAATTCTTCCAAACTTGCAATTTATTTAATGCTTTCTGGGTGTTAAATTGGTGGTTTGCGCACTCGCATGAACACCTCACATGTTAGTAACTAAGTTGAAATGGATCCAAACGCCCGCCAAAACATTTTGAAAAGAAAAGGTACGAAAGGGCGTTAGACCGGATCTAGCGTAATCAAGTCCCAGGGCTTAGAATCTGCAGTTCGTAGGAATAAAACATATCTCCCTATGTTTTATTTAGGTTTCTAATCAACCTACCATAAATTGATTAGTGGCGACTCAGAAGCATAAAAACTTTTGCATGTTAAAAACTTAAACCCTAAGTTGCGAATTGGTAGAGGCTTGGGAGGGTCCGAATTAGAACTAGTCTTAACAATCCATTAGCCGAGAGGAATTTTAGGTCGCGACACAAGCGAACTCGAAAGATCTCGGGTGAGCCTCACCCGAGCCCACCATTTGTGAGCAGGCTTATTAGGTGGGCCCTTCGAACTAATAGGTTCCATGATCGAGTCTAGCGATATAGAAAAAATCGCGAAAGTTCATCACCCCACTCGAGCCCGCCCGGCCCTTGAATATGTGCCTAAGGTGGAATTTTCTTGGAAGGGGACTAGCAGGGAACATGTGACAATCACACGAAGAACAACAGGACTTTATCGTATGGACAAAAATTAACGATTGGTCCTTCCTGGTGGAAAAGTGGGTACAGCTCGTCTTCTTCCTATCAAAGGCCACCAGCCCTTCGGTCGTTTTGTCTTATTAATCTAGGAGAAATTTATGCACCCAGAAAAAAGATGGAATCTGCGAATGGCATGTCAAGCCGACGACTTTTTTGGTTCCTCGGATCTGTCTTACTTCCGACATTACAGAATCAGGAGCTTTTTCGCCCTTAAATTGACTCTTTATCATCATGTTACATCACCTGCCGCGTGCGTTTGACTACTTGATGAAAACGAATTAGCTCTCCACAAGCTATTTTAGCTAGCTCAATAGAAGTTAAATTTCAAAGTTCATTTCGCAAATTGGCATCGTATCAATAGGATACCATGCAAAATCAAATTCAACGATGACTCCTCGTACAGATAAAATCTCAAATCGAGTGTCGTGACATCACTCGAATTTTGTGATTTTGGACCATCGTTTACTCGATAAAACTGAACGGGATAAGAACGCTAGCAATGTCCTAGTTTTTGAACAACGCTCACTTTGGTAACGTAACTTTTTCAAGCGATCATTTAAGTATCGTGATTTTTAAAAACAGATCATCTAAGTTATATCAGTGATTTTCTTGCTGGAAATTCTTCCATGGCATTAATTTCCAGCAAACCATATTGGATGATTCAACACTCAAGTGAATAAAATCGCAGATGTAACTTTAAGTATTTTGGTGTGTCGATTTTGCGACCATAAGATCATAACTGCATGATAGAATAGACACGTGCCTACTCAACAAGTCATGCTCTTTTGTGGTTTCTCGTGTGTTGAGTTCTGGATCAGTACGCGTAAGAATGGTTCGTGGGAAGTCATGGTCTTGATATTTCTAACTCATAGTGAGGGAAAGGTCATGGCGCAATTATCCAGCCTTTTCTTTCATTTGACTCACAAGCCTTCAACTTATAAAGCAAAAAGATTCTTGTAATTCCAATACGCAGTGTGTAAATATCAAACCAACTCCAATCTTATTGGAAAAACGCAAAAAAAAAAAAAAAACTGACGATCGTCCTATATACGCTGTTTCTCATGACATAGTATGGACAAAGTCTAGAGATTCACCACCGGCAACTACCTTAGGGAGGAAAATTTGATCCGTACTCTGTTTCTGTTAATATAAAATGGACGGAAATGAATAACGAAGTTATGCTGGACTTTGAATTTGAATGGATCGGCCCCATGGGCAGATCTGGAATAGAGACGAGGCAAGTCCGCACATGGAAATGCTAATGCTCGAATAAACTTTATTTTTTTCGATTCTTATATTCGATTTGTATTTACCTAAAACCTCTTGTGGGTTGCATCTCGAGAAAATTATTCATCACCATATATGTAATTTTATAACATAAATGGCTACTTGATAAGATGATATAGTAAATGAAAATCAATCCATCAAATCACTTTCGTGCGACAATAAGGAAAAAGGATAGAAATGCATATGAAAGAAACGTGAAGCATATCAATAAAAGTTGGACTTTAAGTTCCAAAAGAACGGGACACTGTCATCTAGGAATCGTGACACTATTAAAAAAACATATTAACAAGCTAGTTGGGAGTTTATATTAATCGTATATTTGTCATAATCTTCTCTCCCCGTTTGACACTATTAAAAAACACATTTTACTTCAGTGGGATCCGTGTATCCTGAATTTGACCCGGTCAACCTGTTTAATTAAATGGGCTGTGGCGACTTGATTAATGACTTGATTTACATTGACCTTTAGCTAACCCTAAACTTATTAGAAGATGCTTGTGCTGCAACAATTGAATTGTAGTAGGAGAAAGCTATAGTAATCAGTATAACTAAGGGCATGTTGCATGTTATGCTCATCAATGGCGGCCTTTTCTTTTGCTTTCTGCAAAGCTAGACACCTGTACCGACGCGTCAATGGGCACGACTCTTTAATCAATGTCACTTTCCAGATATAGCCACCGAGTTCGAAACGGGGAATAATCTGCGGGAAAAAATATGAATGGACGAAACCCGGAAATTGACTCATTTCGAAGGGAATAATCTTCTTCGAGTTGATCTTTCTTTTAGCCGTTCGGAGGAAACCCGATTCGAAGAGTTCCCGACATAAGAAGAACATCCCGGGATTGAACTTTTTATTAACTTGATCCTTACGTTCAACTGTGACTCTCTTCATCTTTCCTTCCCTTCTTTGGAAACCATCCAAACATCCTAGTTTGTGAAATTCCATTTTATGTAGCCAGCAAAAAACAAAGTTTGACATGACTTAAATTGCACAAGCCTTTTACTTCATATCCTCAATCACGTTAATAATTTACAGCATCTCATTTTATCAATCAACTCTTCCCTCTTTGGAATTTATTGTTAGTATTGGGGCAAACACTTCAGGGTCCTTGCTCTTCTTGTAGGCTTGACGACGTTTCTCTTGATCCACCTTCCCACCATACTCCTTGATTATTTTTTTGGAGCTGCGCAAGCGAGATTGAACGGAAGGGCTTGGGAAACGCTAGTTTTGGAGCTCGAAAAGCTTCCGAAACTTGTTTCATTGCGGGTCGTGACTTTGGATCATTACTTAAGCAAGCAAGCGCCAGAGAAACTACTAGAACAATACTTCTTGCGACAGAATTCTCTCTTGGGATTGGCAAGCGCGGGTCTAATATTTGATGTAGCATAATATCTTCTCTGAAGAATGTCATCAGCATTAAGATGATATCACTTGGATGCTCACCCATAATTGTTTCCATTGCTACCACTCCAAAGCTGTATACATCGCATTTCTCATTGATGACCAAAGTGTAAGCAAGCTCTGAAAAATAGAACAAAAGGTTGATGGATTGTATGAGGCTCGAAACCAAGTTCTCAATGTTAGCTAGTGGTCGATCAAGCGATAAATTTTGTAAGCATGATAAAGCATCGACCGTGTTGTTTACGACATGGCAAGTAGAGTATATTGATCTAACTATGTGCCTCTAGTAATAACATTTTGGAAAAGTATCGAGGATTGTTACTCACCCGGTGCTATATATCCATGAGTGCCTGCTATATTTGCAGTGAGATTAGATGAGAAATTAGGCTCTAGGAGTCTTGCCATGCCAAAATCTGATAGGAAAGCCTGCATTTTGTTGTCGAGCAAAATGTTGTTGCTAGATATGTCTCGATGAACAATTGGCCGAGCGCAATCATGGTGTAGGTAAGACAAGGCATGTGCCATATCCCAGACAATATTGAGTCTTTTAGACCAGTCTAGCTCCATCGCTTCAACGTCATCTCTCAAAGCACAAAATAGACTCCCCCTTTCCATATATTCATAAACCAAGAACATGCATCGTCTGTGTAAGCAGAAACCATGGAGCTTAATTATGCTTCTATGCCGTACTTCAGTCAAGTGTTTCACTTCATTTCGGAAGCTTTGGTCAAAAGATGGGTCCTCTGCTTCTAAATGGTGAAGTTTCTTCAGTGCCACGATTTTCCCATTGGGCAATTGAGCTCTATAGACACTACCATAACCACCAGTCCCGATGCAATATTTGATGTCGAAGTCTTCAGTTGCATTGATTATATCTTCATATGCGATTCTCCCATCATAATTCCATATTGACAAGAAATCTCCATTTTTTTCTACTGTCTCTGATTTCATGCTCTTCACTCTATGTCGAAATATGATGCAAGACCCAAGAACCAAAAAGGAAATGAACGCTATAGCCATCAGAATTATATATATCTTCATATGCATGACCCTTGACATTCTTTTGAAACCGTCAATCTTTTCCAAAGTTCCATTGCCGAAGAAAAGTTCATTGCCGTAGAAAGCTTTATAATCAACATTGGCCAGATAATGTGGGATTTCTCCCGTGAGATGATTGCTCGACAAGTCAATGTAATTTAATCTGAAAAGCTCATTTAATTGGGTAACTGTACCTTGAAGAGAATTGTTCCGAAGATTGAGATAGCTTAACATGACCAAACTCCCAAGTTGATGAGGGATTTTTCCAGAGAAGTTGTTAGAGCTCAAATCTAGATGAGTGAGGCTCTTCAAACCTTCTATTTCCGATGGAATGGGGCCAGTGAAGGAGTTTGAGCTCAGCCTCAACTCAATCAAGCTATGAAAATTACATATTTCCGACATGATACATCCACTGAATTCGTTCTCTTCCAAACTTAGATATGCCAAGTTTGTCAAGTTCCCTATTTCCAGAGCAATAGATCCATTGAAGGAGTTTCCTTGCAAATATAATTGCGTCAAGTTCCTAAATTTTGCCACATATGAAAGAATGGGACCGACAAAGAAGTTGTCATGTAAATCTAGAATCCTCAAGCTTGTTAAATGAGCCAGAGATGAAGGGATGGGGCCAACGAAGAAGTTTGAGCTCAGCCTCAACTCAATCAAGCTCTTCAAACTACCTATTTCTGAACGGATAAATCCACTGAATGTATTATCTTCCATACTTAGACATGCCAAGTCTGTCAAGTTCCCTATTTCCAGAGGAATAGATCCATTGAGGGAGTTTCCTTGCAAATATAATTGCATCAAGTTCCTCAATTTTGCCACATATGAAGGAATGGGACCGACGAAGAAGTTGTCATGTAAATCTAGAATCCTCAAGCTTGTTAAATGAGCCAGAGATGAAGGGATGGGGCCAATGAAGAAGTTTGAGCTCAGCCTCAACTCAATCAAGCTCTTCAAATTACCTATTTCTGAAGGGATAAATCCACTGAATGTATTATCTTCCATACTTAGACATGCCAAGTCTGTCAAGTTCCCTATTTCCAGAGGAATAGATCCATTGAGGGAGTTTCCTTGCAAATATAATTGCATCAAGTTCCTCAATTTCGCTAGAGTAGTAGGGATCGTGCCACAAAGCAAATTGAAACTGAGGTCCAAGTGGATTAGCCTCTTCAGATTTCCCAATTTAGGAGGGATATAACCAACGATTTGATTAAGATGAATGTCAAGAAATTCTAACAGGATGAGGTTTTGGAGACAAAGAGGTAACTCACCGGTTAGGTTATTGTTGGACAAGTCGAGGTACATGAGCTTTGGTAGTGCACATATTTGAAGTGGAATGATACCAGTGAGGAAATTCTCCGGCAACTCAAGAAATGCAAGATTCGGGAGCAAAGAGAAATTCATGCTGCTCAAATTACCTCCACCCCTGTAGCTGTAGAAACCTAGTGGCGTGTATATTTCGACGACGCTTCCAGAACCGTCGCACGAAATGCCAGGCCACATGCATTGCGACAAGGAAGTGTTGCTCGTAATGGAGTCAGGCCACCACCCACTGCGACGGAGAGCATCCGCCTCTGTTTCCGAAGCAAGGGCAGGGAAGTTGTGGGAGAGAGCCAGAGCAATAAGGATCCATGTAGCTGCGATCATCAGCTGGTGAACATGCAAGCCGACGGGTTTGCTTACAGGATTCAAATGAATCATATGAAATATCTTCATGCTTGAGTGAGAGAGAGAGAGAGAGAGAGGATCTCTTCTTTTTGCTTGGGATGTGGAAGGCCTGAGTTTTGCGGTAATACATAAGCAAGGGCAATCCAACATAACGACTTGGAAGTCTTCAATTTTGACTAATTGAAGCCTCGTGTCACCGTCAGGCGTTGGGCCCCCGTGGTTTTAGTGCCGATCCAATTCACACTTTGCATTGCCTGAATCGTACGCACAAGAATGATTGTTCACCTCGCGTCTCTCGGGTTTGAATCTCATTGTGTAACACATGTTACTTTACTTTCGTCTCCATAGAGGGGCATAGTGGACTTCACATCTATTGTCAAGAATAATCGTTCGCAAGAGGACTCTGTGATCGATTTAATTCGGTTGTGACTTTGATCTTAATCGAATCTTTTTGCTTTAGAACCTCGAATTAATGACTATATGATTAAAGTTTAATTTATATATGATGGATTCCGTCTTAATATCTCACGTTCTGAAGAATCTCGCTACCCAGTCTATGGATGGAGCTTTATTAGATACATGTGAACATGCAAATTACGTGCATTCGTGACATTTGTTTAAGTCGCACAGTCCAGATAATTTGTGTTGTCAATAAAACAAGAAAAAAAAAAGTTAATAACTTATTTTGGACTATGTGTCATGGTTTTCGGGGTTGTGGTAGCTAGTCAATTACCCTTATATCCCACGAGTTAGTAACTTGTTTGATAACTCAATGTAAACAAAATTAACTCTGATATCCCAAGAGCTCCTCTAACTAGCTTAATAGAAGTTAAATTTCAAGTTCAGTGGGACACTACACAAAATAAAATCAGCGATGGCTACAAATAAAATCACAAGCTAGTTGTCGTGACATTGCTCGAATTTCGTGGCTTCCGACCATTACTTACTCGATATAATTGGATGGGATATGGACACTAACAATCTCGTAACTTTTGTACATTGCTCATTTTGATGCGATAACTTTTGAAGCGATCATTTAATTGCTATAATTTTTATAAGCAGATTACATCAATAATTTTCTTGGTGGAAGTTCCTGCATGACATTACTTTCCAGTGAGCCATGTTGAATGGTTTAATATTAAATTAATGTCATAATAGATTTTCAAGTAAGGAAAACTGCCAATGTAATTTAAGTGATCAATTTTTGAAAGTTATGACACTAATTTCTGGCAAACAGAATATTCTAATCATGCAATATCTAAATTTGGCAGTTTTATGATTCTATTAGAATTTAAACCAACATACCGGCGTATAGAAAAGAATTTAAATGAGCATGCGTGTAAGGATGGAACTTGTACACCCCCATCAAGAAGTCAAGGTCTTTTGGGGTTTCATGTGTGTTGACTTTTGGTTCAGTACGTGTTCAATGGTTCATGGGAAGTCATGGTCTTTATGACACTTTTATTGGTGAAGTTTGACCCTAAAAATTTCCAACCCATCGTAAGGGAAAGGTCATGTAACTATTTTCTAGCCTTTTCTTTGTTTGACTAGCAAGCCTTCAACTTAGAAAGCAAAAGAGCCTTGTAATACCAATACGCAGTGTGCACATGTCAAATCAATTATATTGACCGTGTACTCTCATCTTACAAGAACTGTCCTATGTAAACTGCCTCTCATGACTCCTCTAAAATAGTATGCACAAAGTTTAATACACGACTTAAATTGTAGATTCCACATTAAATTCGACATAAACTATGGATGCCCATGTTCGTTAATAGGAGCCAGATTATCAATATGGAGGAAACCTTTTTCATGGTGCACAGTTTCAATTGACAATTACTCAACAATTTTATCGTTCATGAAGTCCGATGGCCTTCTGCTTTGGCTTCTTCATCCATTTGCCTTTCGTTTTCTCCATCCTTCTCACGGTTCTTGCAAGCCATTTTGGTCTACCAATTTCACATGAAACATATCCCATGACGATCCCAATATGATTTCAGATGCAGAACCTATCCCCATTGCCTTCTACTCGAGGCGGTTTCCATGCTCTCTTGTAGCATCCTCTTGGGTGAAGACAATGGCAGTGGAGGGGCTTGAGCATTCCCAGGGCATACTTTTGGTAGTGGTGTTTCACGTAAGCCCGAATTCCTACTAAACCACTTGCCTGAAAAAGTGCTCAAGTGAATTGGTTCTTAGAGAGGTCCAAGTATCCAAGGGATGCCAAATCACTAGTACTTAAGAAATTCCTCCGTCAAGCTTGTTTGAAGATAGATCAAGCCATTCAAAATCAATTAAAGTTGGAGAGATGGAACTTGTAAGGTGGTTGTGCGAAAAGGTTGAGCCCTACAAGAGAGTGAAGATGGTCAAAGACTCCGGTACGTATCCTTGAGAAGAATCGCACAATAAGTCAACGGTTGTGAGGACGGTCAAGATCTTTCACTGGCTCAATCTCTAGCTCTTTTATTGTCATGGTCTTGAAATTTTCATAAAACATCCGTTTAAAGTTCAATGCAATATACAATAATCTGTCTCGCCAAGTTTCTCTATTAATCATGCCTTTGAGGTTCGTTACAAAGTTAATGCGTAACTTGAGAAAAAAAGGTGAGCTCCCTTCGAAATAGTCAAAAGCCCCTTAAAACAATTGGACGGGGGCAATGTGCCTTCAAATCAATTTTGACTCTAGCGAAGAGCGGTGTGAATTTTTCTCAATTCCCTTGCAAATAGAATATGGAATTTTGAAAATGGACACAGCACAAGTCAGAAGAGCCTGCGCTATAGTTTTAGTCAGAATCTCTTTCATAAAAAAAGAAGAAAAAGAATTCACTCTCAAAGGCATTTTCTCAGTTGAGAGGTGCCCAATTGGTGGGATGTGTGTGGTCCATGAAGACAAGCATGACTGAAGAATGTACTCTTCGTGTGCGTGTTTCCCCTTCTTATATCTTCCTACATGTTAATCCCCTTCCACAAAAAACTTCTACCATTGGCACATATTCATGGGCCGGGCGGGCTCAAGTGGGTTTATGGACTTTCGCGATTTTTTCTAATCACTAGACTCGATCACGAAGCCCGTCAGTTCAAAGGGCCCGCCAAGGTCCGCTCACAAATGTATGGGCTTGGCCCAAATCTGTACACTGGCGTGTGGGCTCCATCAACTTGTTTGGGGCCGGAGCTTCGGGCTCGGGTAAGACCCTTGGCCCGCCCGAGACGATCGAGTTCACCCATCTCAAAGACTTGAACCGGAGTCGGATTGTGTAAAATCTAGTTAATGCTCTGAGCAAAGGCGAACGAGCAAAATGGGGAGTACAAGGCTTGGTTGATAATTGCAGATCTCGGCGGGTCTACCAATATCACCCTATTATTCGGTCCAAGAGAAACGAACTCCGTAGCTGATTGGGCCGCGAGAGCCCATCGTTAAAGAGGCTTCAAAAGTACTGGGCTTCGCACCCCCCCGTCCTTCTGCTCTTCGGAGCTTTAATCCGTGCCTATATGAAATCCTCTGTACTCATCCAATTAGAACGATGTGCGCAAATGGTGCAGGCGATGTTGGCGCTGTTGATGGCGGGAGCTTCGGCCTCGGCAGCTATCGTGTACTTGGCCTACGAAGGGAACACCAAGGCTTACTGGTTCTCCATCTGCCAGCAATTCAACTCTTTCTGCCAGCGCATCTCGGGCTCTCTGATCGGGTCGTTCGGCGGAGTCGTCTTGTCCGTGCTCCTAATCCTGCTGTCCGCCATCGCGCTGTCTCGACGTTGAGCGGAGCTGCATGATGCTATGCTACATACATCATGTTTCTCAGTCTGAATGTGTAATTATTATTCCAAGAGTGTGAGAGTGTGATTGTTTTCTTTGTTCCTTTTCAAGTGCTTGTGCTGTGTGTCATCGTGATTGTAATGCAATTGCTCTCTCTCTCTCTCAATCTTTCGATCTCTCGATCAATCGTCCAGGCTCGTCCACGTAAAAAGCTTATGTCTTATAATCGAAAAGAAGTATATAACCGATTGATTTGCAAAAACTATTATCATGTATGAATCCAAAGATAGCTAAATAAAATAAAATAATGACAAACTCTACTTTTGGTCTAAAAATCATTTACTGACTTTTCTGCCAAAACTTAAAACGTCATCAATACCATGTGTGAATCCATATAATCTATTTATATAGTATGAAAATGTTTGGTTTTTTCCTCGGAAGTGCGTGAGCTGCGAAATTTGAAAAGTCGTATTTTCCAAGAAGAATTTTAGTTTGTAATCATAGATGACGGATGAACTTGAAGATCTCGGGCGAGCCAAGGGCCTTGCCCGAGCCCACCCATTTGTGAGCGGACTTAGGCGAGCCCTTTGAAGTAATAGGTTTCATGATCGAGTCTAGCGATTAGAAAACATTACCCCACTCGAGCCCGCCCGGCCGATGAACATGTGCCGAAGGCGGAATTTCTCTTGGAAGGGGACTAACAGGGAACAATGTGACAATCACACATTCTTCAATCATGCTCGTCTTCGTGGACCGCACACACATCCCCACCGATTGGGCACTTCTAACAGAAACCAGCCTTGCATGGCTGAGGAGCTAATCGATCCAGCCGCAATGACTTGGCACGAAGAACAGGTGAACGAACGTGTCGAAGAGGATATTGCAGAGGGAATTCTAGCTTTCCCAACCCGAGCCCTGAAGAACAGCGGGACCTTATTGTCCTGACAGAAACTAACGATCGGTCCTTCACAACTCGATTTCGGGAGTTGAAAGATGTCTCATATAATAGTCAGCAGGCGTCTTCTTCCTATCATAGGCCACCAGCCCTTCGGTCGTTTTATCTTATTATTCAAGGAGAAATTTTATGCACCCAGAAAAAGATAGAATCTGCGAATGACATTTCAAGCCGACGACTTTTTTGGTTCCTTGGATCTGTATTACTTCCGACATTACAGAATCAGGGGCTTTTTCACCCTTAAATTGATTCTGTGTCATCATATTACATCACCCGCGGCATGCTTTTGACCACACGATGTAAACAAATTAGTTCTTATATCCCACAAGCTACTCTAACTAGCTTGATAGAAGTTAAATTTCAAAGTTCATTCCGCAAATTGGCATTGTACCATGGCTACTCATACGGAAAAAATCTCGAGTCGAGTGTTGTGACATCGTTCAAACTCTATGGCTTCGGACCATCGTTTACTCGATAAAACTGGACGGAATAAGGACACTAATAATGTTCTAGCTGCTGTACGATACTTACTTTGGTAGCGTAACTTTTTCAAGCAATCATTTAAGATTTATGTTATATCGGTAATTATCTTGCTAGAAGTTCCTACGTGGCATTAATTTCCAGCGAATCATGTTGGACGATTCAACACTAAATCAATACCACAATGGTTTTCCAAGTAAATAAAATTGCCGATGTAACTTTAATTGATCGGTTTCTAAAAGTCAGGGCACTAATTTTCCGGCAAGCCGGATCTTTTGCTCGGGCGAATCTCTATATTCCGCGATTGCAGGATTCAATCAGAATTTAAATCAGCGAACCTGCCAAAAGAGAAGGATTTAAACCGGCATGAATGTACGGATGGAACTTGAACACGTCCATCAAGAAGTCAAGGTCTTCGAGGTTGTATGTGTTGATTTTTCGACCATAAGTTCATTACTACACGATAGAATAGACGTGTGCCCACTCAACAAGCCGCGGTATTTGGGGGTTTCATGTGTGTTGGTTTCCATGGGAAGTCATGGTCTTTATGCACGTCTATTGGTGATGTTTGGGCCTTAAAATTTCTAACTCCCCGTAAGGGAAAGGTCATGGAGCAATTCTCCAGCCTTTTCTTTATTTGACTATCGAGCATTCAACTTATAAAGCAAGAGATCCTTGCAATTCCAACACGCTGCGTGTAAATATCAAACCAACTCCAATTTTATTGGAAACACCAAAAAGGACGACCGTCCTACATACGTTGCCTCTCTTGACACAGTAAGGACAAAGTTTAACTCACAACTTAAATTGCGGATGCCATATAATCTGATAACCTCAATTTTTTTAATAAGCATGACTACCAAGCTAAGCTGTTCTTGAGCCCAATCCCAGCCGTTTGGCTCTTGCCTCGACCCGCCTGTCATTCAAAACGTAGGTGGGCTTGACATCTAAGCTCGCGAATCGATCCAAACCTACTTGCGAAATGCTAAGTAATGCCATTCCTTCGATGAAATGACAATATAGCAGACCTGATCATGGCCGAACGCTTCACTCGCTCGAGCTTGGAAGTGGTCAATTACAATACTCTACCCGTCTAGAGATTCACCACCGGCAACTACTTTAGGCCGGAAAATTTGATCCGTATTCTGTTTCTATTAATATGTAATGGATGGAAATAGATAACGATGTTATGCTGGACTTAGAATATGAATGGATCGGCACCATGGGCGGGTCTAGAATAAGACGAGGCAAGTCCGCACATGGAATGCCAATGCTCGAAATGAAAAAGCAAGTTGGTGACATGCCGAAACTTTACTTTTCGCTTCTTATATTCAATTTGTATTTACCTAAAACCTCTTGTGGGTTGCATCTGGAGAAAATTATTCATCCGCAAGTATCTTATTTTATAACATTAATGGCTACTTGATAAGATGATCTAGTACATGAAAACCAATCCAGCAAATCACTATCGTGCGACATTAAGGAAAAAGGATATAAATGCATATGAAAGAAACGTGAATTATACCAATAAAATTTGGACTTTAAGTTCCAAAAGAAGGGGACACTGTCATCTAGGGATCGTTATTTTTGACATGACTCAAAATCAACATTCTAACAAGCTAGTTGGAGTTTATATTAATTGTGTTTGTGTCATAATCTTCTCTCCCCGTTTGACAATATTAAAAAAACATATTGTACTCGAGTTCAATCCGTGTAACCTAAAGTTGACCCGACCTGTTTAATTTAATGGGCTGTGTCATCTGGATTGATGACTTGATTTACATTGACCTAATTAGCTAAGCCTAAACTTTTTAGGAGGTGCTGGTGCAGCAACAATTGAATTGTACTAAGGGCATGACGCATATTATGCTCATCATAGGTGGCCCCTTCTTTTGCTTTATGCTAAGCTAGACACCTGTACCGACGCGTCAAAGGACACGACTCTCTTTAATCAACGTCACTTTCCAGACATAGCCACGGCGTTTTGAACAGGGAATAATCTGTGAAAAATTTACATTGACGAAATCAAGCAAATGACCTAAACTCATTTAGAAGGTGGAATAATCTGGTGCTGCAACTTGATCTTTCTTTTAGCAGTTCGGGAGATAACCCGATTTGGAGAGTTCCCGACATCAGAATAACATCCCGGGATTCAACTTTTTATTGACTTGATCCTTACGTTCAGCTGTGACTCTCTTCATCTTTCCTTCCTTTCTTTTGAAAACATGCAAACAAGCAAACATCCTAGTTTGTGAAATTCTAACAACAACAAAAAAGAAAGAAGATTGACTTGGCTTAAATCAACGTCAACCGTATACTTCATATCCTCAATCGCGGTCACCGATTTGCTGCATCATTTATCAATCAACTCTTCACTCGCTGGAATTTATTGAAATTGAATGGGGCAAGTACTTCAGGGTCCTTGCTCTTCTTGTAGGCTTGACGAAGTTTCTGTTGATCCACCTTCCCACCATACTCCTTGATTATTTTTTTGGAGCTGTGCAAGCGAGATTGAATGGAAGGGCTTGGGCAACGCTAGTTTTGGAGCTCGAAAAGCTTTCGAGACTTGTTTCATCGTGGGTCGTGACTTTGGATCACTGCTTAAGCAAGCAAGTGCCAGAGAAACCACCAAAACGATGCTTCTTGCGATAGAATTCTCTCTTGGGATTGGCAAGCGCGGATCTAATATTTGATGTAGCATAATATCTTCTCTGAAAAGTGTCCACAACATTAAGATAATATCACCCGGATGCTCCCCCATTATTGTTTCCATTGCTACCACTCCAAAGCTGTATACGTCGCATTTCTCATTGATGACCAAAGTGTAAGCGAGCTCTAAAAAAAAGAACAAAAAGTTGATGAATTATATGAGGCTTGAAACCAAGTTCTCAATGTTAGCTAGTGCACTATCAATTGATAAATTTTGTAAGCATGATAAAGTGCCAACGGTGTTGTTTACCACATGGTAGGTAAAGTATATCGATCTAGCTATGTGCCTCTAGTTACAACATTCTAGAAAAGTATGGAGGATTGTTGCTCACCCGGTGCTATATATCCATGAGTGCCTGCGATATTTGCAGTGATATTAGATGAGAAATTAGGTTCTAGGAGTCTTGCCGTGCCGAAATCTGATAAGAAAGCCTGCATTTTGTTATCGAGCAAAATATTGTTGCTAGATATGTCTCGATGAACAATTGGTCGACCGCAATCGTGGTGCAGGTAAGACAAGGCATGTGCCACATCCCAAACAATATTGAGCCTTTTAGACCAGTCTAGCTCCATCGCTTCAACGTCATCTCTCAAAGCACAAAATAGACTCCCCCTTTCCATATATTCATAAACCAAGAACATGCATCGTCTGTGTAAGCAGAAACCATGGAGCTTAATTATGCTTCTATGCCGTACTTCAGTCAAGTGTTTCACTTCATTTCGGAAGCTCTTGTCAAAAGATGGGTCCTCTGCTTCAAGACGGTGAAGTTTCTTCAATGCCACGATTTTCCCATTAGGCAATTGTGCTCTATAGACACTACCGTAACCGCCAGTCCCAATGCAATATTTGATGTGAAAGTCTTCAGTTGCATTGATTATGTCTTCATATGCAATTCTCCCATCATAATTCCATATTGACAAGAAATCTCCATTTTTTTCTACAGTCTCTGATTTTTTGCTCTTTGTTCTACCTCCATTTTTTTCTACAGTCTCTGAATTTATGCTCTTTGTTCTATGAAGAATCAAACCAAAAACGAATGCTATTGCCATCAGTGGTATAGTTACCGTCATTATAACCTCAGTCATAGAACCATCAACCCCTCCCGATTCCTCATTGCCTTGGAAAGCTACATAACTAACATTTTCCGTGAGATCATTGTTTGACAAGTCGATGTGACTTAAGTTAAAAAGCTTTTTAAAATTGGGAATTGAACCTTGAAGATAATTGGCCCGAAGATCGAGATAGCTTAACATGACCAAACTCTCAAATTCATGAGGAATATTTCCAAAGAATTTGTTAAAGCTCAAATCTAGATGAGTGAGACTCTTTAGAAATCCAATTTCTGATGGAATGGCACAGTAAAATTGGTTCTTACCTAAATCTAGGTGGATCAGCCTCTTTAAATTGGCCAAAGATGGGGGGAAGGGGCAAGTGAAAGAGTTTGAGCGCAGCCTCAACTCAATCAACCTCTTCAAATTACCTACTTCTGACGGGATAGATCCACTGAATTGGTTTCCTTCCATACTCAGATATGCCAAGTTTGTCAAGTTCCCTATTTCCGGAGGAATAGATCCATTGAAGTAGTTTCTTCCCACACTCACATGTATCAAGTTCCTCAATTTCGCTAGAGATGAAGGAAAGGGACCGACGAAGGAGTTGCTATCTAGGTCAACGTGATACAAATTTATGCAGTTCCTTATCTCAAGCGGGACGAACCCACTTAAGAGATTGCTGCCGAGCGTAAGGCTGCGTAAATTGGACAAGAGACCAAGAGTCGGAGGGATCGTGCCACTGAGCAAGTTAAAACTGAGATCCAGGTGGATTAGCCTCTTTAGATTTCCCAATTCGAGGGGGATTTGACTATTGATATGATTATTACGAATGTCAAGAACTTCTAGCATGGTGAGGTTTTCGAGACAAAGAGGTAACTCACCGGTTAGGTCATTGTCGGACAAGTCGAGGTGCCTGAGCTTTGGGAGTGCACATATTTGAAGGGGAATGATACCAGTGAGGTAATTATCAGGCACCCGAAGAAAGCAGAGATTCGGGATCAGAGAGAAATTCATGCTGCTGAAATTAGTTGCCAACTCGTTGTAGTCGTAGCCTTGTCGTGGTTTGTTTATTTCGACAACGCTTCCAGAATCGTCGCACGAAATGCCAGGCCACGTGCAATGCGACAAGGAAGTGTTGCTCGTAATGGAGTCAAGCCCCCACCACCCACTGCGACGGAGAGCATCTGCCTCTGTTTCCGTAGCAAGGGCAGGGAAGTTGTGGGAGAGAGCCAGCGCAAGTAGGATCCATGTAGCTGCGGTCATCAGCTGGCGAACATGCAAGCCGACGACGGGTTTGCTGACAGGATTCAAATGAATCATTTGGAATATCTTCATGCTTTATAGTTTATAAAGAGAGAGAGAGAGAGAGAGAGAGGATCTCTTCTTTTGCTTGGGAAGTGGAAGGCCTGAGTTTTGCTGTAATATATAATGGGCAATCCCAAGAGAAATGACTATGTGGAGAGCAATTCAACATAACGACTTGGAAGTCTTCGATTGACTAAGGCTCCATTCGTTTGGCGGAAAATATTCTCTCGGAAAATATTTTCCGGGTTTTCCGGTGTTCGGGGGGCGAAAAACGTTTTTCGTGGGAAAATATTTTCCTTCCCCTCACAAAATACTAAAGTCTACGGAAAATGACTTTCGCTTCTTCAAAGCGGAAATAATTTTCCGGAGCTTCTTCTTCTTCTTCTTCACTAAGGTCGCCGATCGCTAGCCGCGCCGCCGCCGGACTCCGGCCGCCGCCGCCGCCGCCGGACGTTGGCCGCGGTCGCGATCCACCGCTGCTCGCCGCCGCCGCCGCCGTGGACGCGAACGTTGGCCATGGTCGGCTGAAAAATATTTTCTAAACTTTTTCATATTGGCGCGAACACGGAAAATTATGTTCTAAAACATTTTCCAGGGAAAATGACTTCCGAAAAAATATTTTCCAAAAGGAGAATATTTTCCGCCAAACGAACGGAGCCCAAGTGGAGCCTCGTGTCACCGTCAGGCGATGGGCCCCGTGGTTTTAGTGCGTATCCAATTCACACTTTGCACTCCGTGAACCGTGCGCGCTAGAATGATTGTTGACCTCGGTCTCACACTTCACACTTTTCTGCGTTTGAATTTTGTTGTGTAACCAGCGTTACTTTTTAAGTTCGGTCTCCATAGAGGGGCCTAATGGACTTCACATCTAATATAGAGAATGATCGTTCAAAGGAGGACTCTGTGATCTAAATAATTTGATCATGACTTTCATCTTCGTTGAATCATTTTGTTTTAAAACCTCAAATTATTAGTTAAGTGATTAAACGTTTAATTTAGATACAACAAATTCTGTCATAACTTTTCATATTCATAATAATCTCACCAGTCACCTTACGGATGGAGCTTTAGTAGATATATGTAAACAGGCGAATTGCGTGTTTGAGTTAAACGGTTTGGATGTTGTATTTGTCAACAAAAGAAGAATCTAATAACTTATTTTGGACTACGTGTCAAGGTTTTCGGGGTTGTGATAGCAAGTTAATTACCCTTACATCCCATGAGTTAGTAACTTGTTTGATTACTTAATGTAAACAAAATTAGATATTATATCCCACGAGCTGCTCTAAAAAGCTTGATAGAAGCTAAATTTCAAACTGAGTAGGACACCATACAAAATCAGCAATGGCTACAAATAAAATATCGAGTTAGTTGTCGTGACATCATTTGAATTTTGTGGCTTCAGACCATGGCTTACTAGATAAAAATGGACAAGATAAGGACACTAAATACGTCATAATTTTTGTATAGCGTTCATTTTGGTATTATAACTTTTCAAGCGATCATTGAAGTATCATAATCTTCAAAAGAAGATAACTTAAGTTACATCCGTAATTTTCTTGCCGGAAATTCGTACGTGGCACTATACTCTGGCGAGCCACGTTGGATGATTTGATATTAAATCAATGCCACAATACGATTTTTAAGCAAGAAAATTTGCCCATGTAACTTGAGTGGTTGGTTTTTAAAAGCTATGGCACTAATTTCTTGGCAAGCAGAATATTTTGCTCATCCAAATCCCTAAATTTCGTGATTTTATGATTCAATTAGAATTTACACAAGCTACAGCGGCCGAAAGAAAAAAAAAATGAATGTAAAGCAGCATGCGCGTATGAAAGGAACTTGTACACATCCATCAAGAAGTCAAGGTCTTTTGGGGTTTCATATGTGTTAATTTTGGGACCAGTACGTGTTCAATGGTTCATGGGAAGTCGAGGTCTTTATGACACTTTGATTGGTGATGTTTGGCCCTGCAAATTTCTAACCCATCGTAAGGGAAAGGTCATGGACCAATTTTCCAGCCTTTTCTTCTTTTGACGAGCAAGCCATCAACTTATAAAGAGAAAGATCCTTGTAATACCAAACCAAGTATGTTGACCGTGCGCTCCAATCTTGCTGGAACTGTCCAATCTAAACTGCCTCTCATGACTCCTCTAACCTAGTATGCACAAAGGTTAATAAACGATTTTAATTATAGATGCCCATGTTCATTGATAGGAGCCAGATTATCAATATGGAGGAAACCTTTTTCAGGGTGCACAGTTTCAATTGACATCCCCTCAATAATCCCGTCGTCCATTAAATACAATGGCTTTCCGCTTTGGCTTTTTCATCCGTTTGGCTTCCTTTTTTTCCATCCTTCTCACAGTTTTCACAAGCCATTTGGGTCTTTCAACTTGACATGAAGCGTATGCTATGAAAATCCCAATATGATTATGGATGCATAACCTATCCCCACTGCCTTCCACTTGAGCCAGCTTCCATGCTCTCTTGTAGCATCCTCTTGGATGAAAGACAATGGTAGTGGAGGACGTTGAGCATCCTCAGGGCATACTTTTGATAGTGGACTTTCACGTAAGCCCGAATTCTTACTAAACGAGTCGCTTGAAGAAGTGTTCAAGTAGTTGGTTTCTGGTGAGGTCCAAGTATCCAAGAGATGCCAAAACACCAGTACCCTAGGAATTCCCCGTTAAGCTTGTTTGAAGATAGATCAAACAGGAAGAGCTTCCTGCACTACAGTGTTAACCTGAATCTCTTCGGCGGAGTGGGGCTATGAAGTTAAACATATTCATGGGACGGGCGGGCTCGAGTGCGGCTATGAAGTTTGGCGAGTTTTTTCTGATCACTAGACTCGATCACGAAGCCTATCAGTTCAAAGGGCCCGAATAGGTCCGCTCACAAATGTGTGGGCTAGGCCCAAATCTGTACCCTTGCGTATGGGCTCAATCAACATGTTTGGGGCCAGAACTCTGGGCTCGGGTAAGACCCTTGGAAAAGACTTGAACCAGAGTCGGATTGTTTCGCTCTGTCAATGCTCTGACCAACGACGAACGAGTAAACTGGGAAGGACAAGACACGGTTGATAATCGCAGATCTCTCAGGACGGACCTTACCAATGTCACCCTGTCGTTCTGTCCAAGAGAAATGGATTTCGTGGTTGATTGGGCCGAGAGAGCCCATCGAGAAAAGAAGGGTTCGAAGCAATTTGATTTCGTGCCAAATGATCTTTTCAGATCGCAAAAGGGGGGAAAAAGTTTGCAGTTTGGTACTTGAGAACAAAGTGCATGATCTCACATTGGTACCCCTCGGATTGGTTTTGGTTCTTATGAGCCGTGCTAGACCCAAAAGATTCTGAATGTTATGCATAGAGACAAATCCATAGGATTAGAGAAGACAATAAAAAGGAAGTATCAATAGTGCTGGGGATGGGATAGGGCGCATGCCTCAAGAGGGCAACAGAATTCCTTTGCCATGTATTGTGTCTCATTAGGCGATTTGATTACCGACTTATATTCTCGATTCGTATTATCCATCCGACGGCGGCACCTAATGGTTTTTCTTCATGAGATTATGCACCGCTGGTCTTTCGCGCCGCTTCATCGAGCTCGTTCGTTTGGAATGAAATCGAAAAGAAGTATCCCTTGCTCCTTTCACATTCTATTGTAACTTGTAAGTTAATTCTTGGTGCCTAACTAAGTCCACCCCTCTAATTCGATAAAAAAGATTGGACCGTGAGATAAGAAATAATGTGGAAGAGAGAATTGTATAAGTTCTCTATATTCCTCTATATATTATTGTATGAAATAATGAAAAGTACATGAGCCTATTTAAAGGTTTATTAGATGATTATTTAAGGCAACATATCAGTCAATGATATGCAACCAAAGTGAAATATGGAAAAATCTCCTAAATACATGCAACATCACAAGAGATATGGAAAATCAAGTGAAATATCCAAAATATCGGTAAGATCCTCTCAAACTCAAAGTGGCATTGAAGAAGTTGTTGGGGGGAAACTTCCCATGACATTTTAATAATTTCAAAATCATCCTTGGCCTAATATCTACTTGATTAACGCGGATGTTCATTATGATGAAGTTGTGATCGTTTCGGAAAGACTGTGATAATATTGTTGGTCTCTAACGCCATGTTCGCCGAGTTAAGAGATGATTCATGATGAATTAATTGTTTGTGATCCGACTCCAAGTGATGGTATCAAGCACGAATCAAAATCCAAGACCGGTTGATATATCTCTCAATTAGATGGAAATATCTCTCTCCCTAAGATCATGCAAACCCTTCGAAGACAAGTTGGTTTTGGCTTTCTTTTTTGGGGGTGATACCAAAGACCACACTTGAACAGCTTGTTTTGAATGGTCTTATGATGGCAAAACGACATTAATGGTTGAGCCCGTGAATTGGATTGAGGCTAAAGGTAAGTATAGTTCCACGATTGATCAAAACAACTAGGTAGCTATCTTAACCCACTTCCTCATTTAGACTATGGTGTGTAAAGCAACGAATAAAAATATAAATCCATAATATCTTTTTCGATGTGGACCGGTTCATCGCCACATAATTCTCCCTTAATATCTTGGGCTAAGATAATTCCAACATAATCTGTGCCAAAAAGTCCCTAATTGCCTTAGATCTAGGCATTCTTTTCTCGAGTTTTGTCAAATACCTAGATTTCATGGCTTCGAATCTCGCATCTTCCGCTCTTTCAAAGGCGAGTTAGAAGATAAAGTAGACCTTTTGGAAAGAGTAGACCTTTGCTCGATTCCTTCCTTCAAGAGGCAGGCCCCTTCTTTGGCCAATGAATGTTCTACTCTCGCTAATTTTTTATCAACTTAATGATGCAGCTGATATATAGGAGGGAAAATTGTCCAAAAAATCTTAAACCTATTGCACTTTTACCAATTAAGTCATAAACTTTTTGATTTTGCCAATTCAGTACTAAACATTTTCATGTTTTGCCAATTGAGTTCATCCGGCCAATTTTAGATGGAAATCACTGATGTAGACGCTAGTCGTACCGCTGGATGGACAAAATTTGATAATATTTTAACATTTTTTTTTTCGAATTTTTTATCTTTTTATTTTTTATCTTTCTTTTTTTTTCTTTTTCTTTTTCTTCTTCCAAGTCTAGGGGGTCGTCAACCTTGTCGGGTACAGGCGAGGTCTGACCGACCCTCGCTACCGTAGGCGAGGGTTGCAGCCCTCGCATAGTGGCTGGCTCTCGCCTATGGCCAGCGAGGGTCAGCTGGCAACCCTCTTCGGACTTGATAGAAAAAAAAAAGGGAAAAGAAAGAAAGAAAAAGAAAAAAGAAAAAATTCAATTTCTTTTAAAAAAAAATTATAAAAATTATCATCGTCAATGCTGGCCGTCCTACGTGGCACTATCGACGTCCACGTCAGTGATTTCCGATTAAAATTTACTAGATGGACTCAATTGGCAAAACGTGAAAAAGTTAAAGACTCAATTGGCAAAATTAAAAGGTTTATGACCGAATTAGTAAAAGTACAATAGATTTATGACTTTTTTGACAATTTTTCCTATATAGGATGACTCAAGCTCTAGAAATGAGCGACGCGACTCTACATTTGGAATACCAACTCTCCTCTTTTTTTCTCCTCAGCGAATCGCATTACTCGACATAGGCTGAATTTCAAAAAAACCAAAGCGAACTTATCAAGGATAAAGGTCAATTAAGTGTGTTCATATCGAGTGTTGCGTATCCAGCGGTCACGCAAGTAGATCGGGACCTTGGAGAGAAGCGCAAGCAAGTCCTCTCCGAATCACTTATGATCGAAGCATGCGCATCATTTTGTGGATTGATTCGAACACAACAAGATAAGAATAGACCCGCGGAACGAAACTCCACGACCTTCACATCTTTGATTTGCATGACCTTTTCGAGCTGACCACATAGATAGCAGAAGTCGTGGTAACTAATCTCCATTTGTCGGCATCCCATGCACCAACGGGACACCGCCACGTCGCTGTCTCCTGTCGTGGCGTCAAGCTGGAAGGGTGGGAGACAAGGGCCCGCATGCCAACTTGGGAACCCTAGGTGCGCTGTAATTAGTCAAGATTAGGAAAACCCCATTAAATCTAAACATGGAGATTTCCGGGTGCTTTACTTTTGTCGCCGCCGTCCAATCGCAGGCCCCCATGTAGCAGCTCCCAGTTTTGGTTGCTTCCCCGTCGGCAAACGGCGGCACTGTCTCTTTCCTAGGGTCTTTCGTTTCTTTCCTTTTTTTTAAAACAAGCACATAACCCGTTGACGTGGCGGATTAACTACGTTGACAAACCCTCGAATCTCGGCCGTCGGATCCACTGAGGTTGCCCAAATCATGTGAATTCTCCTCGTGGTAGCCAATGCTGCCACGACTTGTAAATTGGTGGGTCGATTCTTGTCCTCTTCCTTCCCCTCCCCTCCCCCCTCTGAAAACGAAAGGTGTGGCGCCACTTTTCTGCATTGTTAAGCTAATCTTATGTTAATGTTTGGGTGATAATTAAAGACCATTGCATGATCTTTATGTTCAAATCGTTTGTATTATTATCGATTTGAAATTTGTATGGCGGATTTCCAACTGATAAAGGGAGCTCCAATCGGCCAATAATTCGGCAATTGTTTAGGCCAAAGAAAGGGTTGCACTAGCTTCCATGGCCATCTTTCAACGTCCGCCCTTTGTCCTTAATGAGCCAAGTCTTCCACAGCTTTCCAATGTGCGAATATCTTGACGTAAATGTTTGATTAAATATATCATGTTAACGATAGGTGAATAAACAAGGCATGATTTGCGATGGAATTACGTGGTAAAGTGATAATCAACGTGACTTTGGTTTGTTGTTTAGCCGATAAATATATATACTGTCGTGTGAAATTAAGCCACTTTCCACATCCGTGTGATCCGGGGATCTTCGACTGGTATCGTTAGTCTTGTGGCTAAATGGTGTGTGTTAAGCTCGGTTTTCATGTCCAAGCTTGCCTCCGGCATAAGATCGTCCGAACCGGTCTCGACACATTTGTAGATGCGCGGGTTTAAAACATGTCGTCCTGATTTGAAATCACGAGAAACTTATCTATCAGCACAATGGCTCGGACACAGCAGAGACGAGATTGGAGCCGTATCTGTTCCCCCAACACCAATAATTGGAAGAAGCAAACCAACTGATTCTCCCGAAAAGGTAAGCAACGGGGACATAGGCCATACTCTTTATGGGAGACAAGGTCAAACAAGACAAGAACGTATGGGTTTTGAACTGGGATTTGAGATAGATTCACTTTGTCAAAGCGGCACCATACGACTTTGACGATTTTGGCTCAAGTAAAAGCGAAACAGAACTTGAACTTTACTTCGGCAGATCAGGACTTTAAGAAGTAAAGAACTCGATTGAATCTTTTGAATTAGAACCGTATGTATGGAACCTTGTGACAGCATTCAAACCATTATGGAGGCTAAGTAAATGAATCTCTGTAAAAATATGTTTTCTACGGTATCGCTTATATGTAGTTAGACATTGGTATATGCTGTGATAGGAACTTCAAAGGCTTTCGAGTATTTAAATTCTAAGGAGTTGATCAAAGTTCGACGAAATGACTTCTTGTGTACATGAACAAACGGTATGCACATATTGTGCACTATAGTCAAAACCCTCTTCGATTGATGATGCAGCTCAGTGTTTCTTAACATAATTTCATTATACTTGATGATTCTTGATGGGGTCACGGTAGCAAAGATCCAGGAGGCTTCTGACTTGAGCAGAACATATTGGTATTCTCTCATTGTTTAGCCTCTTTTGCAGAACTTATTTCAGGAGATGCGAGTCTAATGACTTCATAACTAAGGTTTCGAAACGGACGGCATCAACACGGGGAGTTCGACCTAAAAACCAATTGACATACTTCTTCGTAAATCAAGCGTGGTATAGTTAGGATAGCACGAATTTCAGTTCTGGTCTCGTTTATCGGCTGATAAAATTCATAACTACAGTTGTTCCTGGAAGACCTTGATTGAACAGATAAAGCTCAAGTCACCATCTTTATCGTGGATTGCTGTAAAAGATGCCCGGAGGTTGTGAACCCGTTTTTATCGCTGGGAACATAGTTGAAACTTTCCTGTTTTGACTTTAGGAGAAATTAGATATGGATTGAAAATATAAAATAATATAACCATTTGAAAGCTTAGAACTTGCCCACCAAGTTGCCTTACAGCCTACGCTTCTGTACCTCCAAAAGAGCAAGTATTTAGAGAGTTGTGTTGCTCCAAAACCAAACCTTCTTCTCTGTTATTGAGAAGATTTTTGCACCACAGCCTCTTTTGCCTTCTCAAATATCATCACCTGATTAAAAGACTATTTAAAGCCTCTCTTGCCCTCCGTTTAACTCCAGATTTTTCGATTGATTCGCCATTTAGAACCTCAAAAGACCATCTGAAACTATTCGGGACTTAAAGGGTGTTATGATGAATGACACTGTGATTCTCGAAGAAGGTGAACAGATGGAATTGCCTCCGGGGTTTCGATTCCACCCGAACGACGAAGAGCTGATCACTCACTACCTCAACCCAAAAGTTCTCGACGGTGGCTTCTGTGCAAGAGCCATGGGGGAGGTTGATTTGAACAAGTGCGAACCGTGGGACTTGCCTGGTAATATACCCCTTAAGCCTTGCATCCTTGGGGCTGCTTCTTGTCGTTTTTCCAATTTGTCATATAATGATGTGCTAATAAGTTTGTTTAAATATTGTTCGGCTGTGAAGGGAGAGCAAAAATGGGCGAAAAGGAATGGTACTTCTTCTGTGTGAGAGACAGGAAGTACCCGACCGGTTTGAGGACGAATAGAGCAACCGAAGCTGGTTATTGGAAAGCCACCGGTAAAGACAAGGAGATCCATAGGATGAAGAAGTTGGTTGGGATGAAGAAAACTCTGGTTTTCTACAGGGGAAGAGCTCCTAATGGCCAGAAGTCCAACTGGGTCATGCATGAATTCAGACTAGAAGATGGCAATCAACATCATCTTTCAAACCCACAAAAGGTATGGCCTTGCCGGGGCTATGCGGCGGAGTTTTAATCAGGTCATTGCGTTTTAGACCCTTTCCATAAGGCCATTGAACCGCCAAAGCAGTTTCGAATACAAGATCATTGCTTCGAGCGTCCTAATTCTCAAATACTTGATTGCTCAACTCAGTTTTTGATGACTGTATTTCTCTTACCTTTTGCAGAACGACTGGGTCATATGCAGAATCTTTCAAAAAAGACCTGATGGGAAGAAAGCTGATCAGCCTGTGACTCCGTCTGGTGGTCTAGAGAGGCTGAGCACGTTTGACAATGAACCGAGACCATCTCTCTTGCCTCTGCCTCCATTGGTGGAGTCGTCTCCATTCACCACCTCCTTCTCCGATCGAGCCGAGGATCACAACGCTCAGAACGACCTCATGATGAGCACGCACAACCAGAAGGCTCACCTCTTCCCTCCTTCGTCTTCATCGGAGCTAGACCCGTCTCTCGATGCCACGCCTTCGTTCGGCTGGTCCGACACGGTCTTCATGCACGAGCAGTCGATCCTGAGGATGCTGCTCGAGAACTCCGCGTCGAACGCAAGAGCGGAGTACGCAGATTTCTCGCAAGCTAATCGCCCGAGCAGAGAGACGATCCAGACATCTTTTCAGTGCGATGTGGATTGCCTCTGGAGAAACTGAGGGTGGAGATGGAAGGTTAGGCATCAAAGTGAAGGTGGAGAGCACGGTGGTTTAGATGATTCGAATCTTGTTCTTCTTCTTTCTGGTTTGCTCTTCATGGGTGGAATAGGCTGGAGGCTGTCGTTGTTTGAAGAGGCCTTTTGTGTTTGTGCCTGTGTCTGTACAGTCTCTGCATCTTCATAACTTTTTTGGTTTCTGCTGCTTTTTCTATATCTATATATATACAAGGTGAAAGCCTAGGATTATTTCCAACCTCTGATTTTTATGCACAAAATTTTTCATAAAAGTTCATACTCTGTTCATTAAAATGAATGGCAAAGGTATGTTATAGAGCGATCGAGTGGAAAAGTAATTTGTTGCTTAAATCTCTCTTAAACTCTTAATATGGATATAACAAATCTTAATCTTGCAACTGTTTAAATATGTTCTCTAAAATACTCTAAAACTTCATTGGTTTACTTTCTGATTATATACACAACTGCGATTTCGTTGGCTTCTGTGAAGTGTAACATTTTATAAAGCTCCACAAGATTGCATATGAGATCGATGTCCGATTACAGAAAATTGATTAACTCGTTGGTCGAAGCTTTTGAATAGAACTCGAGTTTAGCTAGATTTCTTATGTGGCTGAGGCTCTTGAGTTTCTTTCTGTGGCATGAGGCATGGACTCAGACCTTACTTAGCCCATCTAACCATCCACAATTTGTGGTGGGCTCACTAATTAGTGCATGAGATTTGGGTAGACACAAGCCTTCGTTCATCTTGTCCCAACTATGTGTTCCTATGGATTTGCTAGATTGAATTAATAAAAGCCACGACGTACCAAATCCGAATATCGCGAAAAACCTATTCATTTAAGGTGTGTTCACTGTCCGGCAAACTTGAATTGGATCCGATCGATGAGCCGGCCGGACCTACGTGAGTATCGAGCCTAAAGATCCTAGTGTAACCCGTCCTGCCCATGATATGAAAATTAACGCTTTAAAAATATCATCAGGCCTGAGAGGGCTTGACGGGCCTAAGCGGGTGGGCTGAGCCGGAGGGTGAATCTGCTTATCTAGGCCCGATTGAATTGTTATTCGGGCCTTTGTACATTGAAGTGCATAGTGCATTGAGGAATTAGTATGCCCATGATCTTCAATTTCACTGTGAAAACTTGATCTTACCGGAACGGAGTGGGAATAAAGAATTCTGGATCTTATCCCATAGGAAGAATGATGGCACATCTCAATTTGAATGGCATGAAGACACATCCAGACAAAACAGATACCTCGTGTCCTGTTCACAAGGGGGAAAGTGTCAGCGTTATCAAATTATGCTTCGATACCACATGATTCGGTCAAAATAAAATAAACCCACGACGTCTCGAAAAGGTATCTCGAGCTAACTTTCATCCGCCGAACCAAAACCCACAACTCTTTACACCACCTAGAGGCTAGAGTCGATAAAACCATCATTCGTTGTCGGCAATGTCACCCACGCACAATCACGTAAAATCGCACCGGTTCACAATCCCGGTTCAAGGTTTTTTTCGGTTCGAATTTTATGACCTACTCTATACTTGCCAAGCAAATGCTTGAATGCTTCTACGGTACAGGTGAGACCGAACAACTGCTTATAACAAGTACCATGAGCACATTCACTGCTCCGGGCCACCGCATGTATTTCCATCAATGGATTCATTCGGAAGATGGAACGATTGGATTGAGGAGACATGCAAAACCCGGCACGTGACGAAACAACAGCCGATGAACGCGAAGGAGAAAAGGTACAAATGACTCCTAACCTTTGGAACCAAACGTTTAATAAGACGAACCACGCCGACTCGAGTCGTACGAAAACGATTCGATCTTTGACCTTAAGGCCGAAAGAAGGCCTCTCATCAGATGAACTTACAGAAACAAACACGGGGTTCGTCCCAAAAAGCCATCCGACTGGCTTAGTTAATTATGACTTTGCTTTGACGAAGAACAGGTTTAAGGTCTTTTTATGGCTATAGCGCATCATGTTTTGCATGTCTCGACTGGCTTAGTTAATTATGACTTTGCTTTGACGAAGAAAAGGTTTAAGGTCTTCCTATGGCTATAGCGCATCATGTTTTGCATGTCTCGTTGCCGACCCCAGATGCTATTTTCAGCGATGCGATGGCGGCCACCATGTGTCTGGATTTTCACAAAGCACAAGCCTTGCTGGTTCCCGCATCCCAAAAGTATCTTCTGCGGTGATGCTACCACCGACCACAGGTCCCATTTGAAGTTGTGTCCCCAAGATCGTGACTAGTATCCTAACAACTACAGCTATAAGGAGCAAAGGGTAACTTGCTGGGTGTGGTGCTAAAATAGATGATATCTATAAAGCTCTTTAGGTGGTTTAATTAATCAAGCTCTCGTGTCTTTATAGTTCCTTAATGTACATTATTTGTTAGGTTGATTAACGCGACTGACTAAGAATCATTCTCTCACAAGCCATTTGAACTTTTTGCTTTCTTGCGAACTTTCCTGCGAACTGTGCGTGTGCCTTAGCATCGGGGCTTTGCACGCTTAAAATGGCTGATGTGCTACTAGTGACCAAGGATATCGCATGCCGCACGGTCCTTTAAATTGGGTCAATGACTCGGACCTTGACATTTGGTATCGGAGCCAAAGTTGTAGTGAAAGATTTCGAAAATCATGGTCAACACTCAGATGGCCGAAGATCGGAAACGGATTGAGGTGACTCTCCTAGATGGCTAGGGGCATCAATTACGGAACTCGAGGAGCAAATTGGGTTCGTTAAGGGATCACGTCATGCTATGAGCAATCAAGTGGGTATTCTCGAAGACGATGTTCGATAGACTATGTGCGTACTGCGTGAATATAACAAAAATGACTGCTCTAAGTGACTATGTCCAGGGATGTCAATGGGTCAGGTCGGGACGGGCTTTCATGATACCCGGCCCGACCCAAGATCATGTTCAACATATACTCCAAGAATTGGGTGGGTCGGGTTTAGGATATTTTTTTTTAAACAGAGCCCAATCTTCGAACTATCATTGAGAGACAGATAGCTGCTTTGTTCTCTACAGCTTGTTCTGTACCTCCTCCTCTGTCTCTCTCTCTTTGCATTTGCAGTATCAGTTGAGCACTGCTCCCTCCACCCAATCACCACCCAAGAAGGCCCACGGGAGTAGCTCCGGAAAAATGAGCGTCGTCGCTGAGTCCAAGAAGAAATCGCCCGAGCCCCCGGCGGCGAAGCTGCGCTCCGACGACCAGAAGCCCTCGTCAACCTCCTTCGCCGCCACCAACCGCAAGACCATCATCAAGAGCGTTGACATGACAACCTCCGAAGCTCGGGCTTTTTTGACAACCCTAAAGGACAGGACAACCTCTGAAGCTCGGTGTTGCTTCAAATCCTGAGTGCAGAACCGAAGACAAGAGCCGTGAAGGCCGCTGCTTCGGCGGAGAGGATCGACGGGGAGACGAAGCTCGCCAGGGAGGTGGGGCTCGGCGCCAGGGCCTCGACCTGGGCTGTCACGGCGAGCACCATGGGGGTGAGGACGAAGGCCACCACGGCCATGTTCGCGAACTTCACGACTGCCATTGCCACGAACTCAAACTCGAGCTTTTCGCACGCCTTTGAGAGGTTGTAAGGGCGAGGAGGAGCTAGGGTTTCTTGGTCACGCATGCGTAGAGAGAGAAGAGAGCGAAGGGGAGAGAGAGGGGGGGAAGGGCTATTCTGAACGATTTATATTTGGTGCCAGGATCAAAAAAAGCCCAGCCCAGCCCAGCCCGGTCTAGCCCGACCCTAACAATTACCCACACCTAAAACCCTTACCCAAAGAAGGCCAGGACCTGACCCCAAAATACCCTAAATTTCGGGTCGGGGCGGGCCGAACCGGGCCGAGCGGGGTCAGCTCGGGCTTTTTTGACACCCCTAACCATGTCAACACGAGCCACGAATAATGCAACCAACTTTGAGATGGGCCGCATGAAGGTGCTAGAACCACGGGCTTATTCCAGCGACCGAGATGCTAAGCAGCTCTGGAACTTTGGGTTAGGCGTGGAGTGATAATTTGGGGCCGTGGGAGGGGACCTTGCTCGCTCCATTTTCATCTAAATATGAGCATATAAATGTGAAAATTGAAATTTAGAGGAACATGATTAATTAATTGATAGCACATTTGCATGACATTTTCATTCGAATTAAATATTTTCGTCGATAAGTTAGAGCAACAAATGCAACAATATACTATGCCGATTAGTTGGGGAATGCAAAGCCAAACCAAATAACGCCCCAAGAGAAGTAAAAATATCTCTCATATGCATCCCAACAGAGTGAAAACCCCACACCTTATTCTCGAGTCAATTTTGTGTATTTCTTCGAAATTTATTGGCATATATACACATTCTCTACAACGTTTTCGCAGGTAGATTTGTGTCTGCCACACGTGATTGATACAATTTGCTCACGTCTATAAGACTAACGAGATGAAGAATTTGAACAACACGTTGTTATGAAAAAGAAACAGTCGGAGCAAATCGGTGATTTGCTAACTCAAACTCACTCCGACCGACCGGACCGGAACATTTATGTACTGGTTTTTCACGCTTTTTTACACGAGGCTGATTTTACGAGGATATAAGTTTTACATAAATACATCATTTTTTTTTCTTTAATTCGAACTATGTGATCATTGGTGCAACCCAGAGCTAACGTGTCGAATGGCATGTGGCTAGAGCCAGATCACCAAAAGTACCGAAATACGCGACGACCCGTTTCACTTTTCGAACCACAGAAATCTCCTTTCCAACGTTAGGGCCACCCACCCTTCAGTCAGTCCTCAGTAGCCGACAAAGTGCGACTTGATTAAAGAAAAGATCCAAAGGGTAATCGAGCAAGCAAGTAGCCCAAGTGAACAAATTTAACTTGGCGTTGTCTTGTGTGCGTCCAAGAGTTTGGACCACTCTTTGCCGGCCGGGGGTGGCAGGTGGCTACCATCTCGGTCCCTATCCTCGGGTCTATCGAATCTATTCGAGTTCCGTGTATTGTGGCAGGTAAATTAGGTGGATCCAACGTGGGATTTGATCGAAAACCGAGGATCGTGGTGTGCCGAGATCGCATCGGTCCGGCGCGAGTCGGGACTGGACTCGGCATTTTTTCCTTGGTGAAAAATTAACGATCGAATTCGAAACTCTTCCATCGTGGAAAAAGAAGGCAATCCAAGACCTCCATTAGAAAATTGATCGATGTGGATCGAGTCAAAATCTAGTACTCCCTTCTTCCACCGAATCCTAACTCGCTCGTATCTTTTGCCACTGTGCTGCCATCGTCGGGCCGCCTCAACTACCACCATCACCATTAGTATGTCGCCATCACCATCTCTATGCTTAGCCATCAAACTGCCACCATCCTTTCTCTCTCTCTCTCTCCTAACGTGCACATTGGGGGCCTCCTTAATTGTAAAAGTTATCATTTGGTGTAAAGATTTGGATAGGCCTATCCGATTTTCAGTATAATTTTCATTAAAGGGGATGATGACATCGCGAATATCTTAAATTGATACTCGTTTTACGATTCAATATCCAAACTTTTTTTTGTTTTCGATCAAGCACCTTAACTTTTCAAACAAGCGTAACACTGTAAATTGGTTGTATGCACAATTGAACAAGAATGAATTTGTGTGATTCTGATTCAAGAAAGCACAAAATAAAAATAAAAAATTATGTAGATTCTGAAAGGGGAAAATAACACAAATAGTCCTCGAATTTTGATCTGATGTGCAATGTATTCCTAGACTTTTAATTTGTTCAATGTAGTCCCCAGACTTTAGTCCAATATGCAATGTGGTCCATAAACTTTTAATTTATTCAATGTAGTCCATAAAATTTTGTTACATGTTCAATTTAGTGTCTGTACTGTATGAAAATATCCAATGTTGTCCCTGATCTTGAATTAATAGAAGGACCACACTGAATATTTTTCATATAATTTAGGGACTACATTGAACATGTACCAAAAGTTCATGGACCACATTGAAATATATTAAAAGTTTATATATTACATTATATATTGAACTAAAGTTTATGAACCATTTGTGTCATTATCTTTTTTAAAAGACAGCAAAGTGTCTCACAATGTCGACACTCCTCATTTCCACTTGCATGTCCAGTTTTCTTTTGTTCCTAGGTACATGTCTTTTGTTGGGGCTATTTTTGTGATTTCACATGCTCTCTCTTTTTTTAATCTCATTATTCACGATAGGTGGGGCCCACTTGTGCATGGACTCATTCCTCTCTTGAGCGAAAGTATTTAGTGGTTAGGTAATATCATATTATAAATTGACGTGCAATTTTATATTGAAATCCAATCAATAATTGATACGTGTCAATGAAGTAGCAAGTAAATAAGAAAAGATCAACCTCCTTTTCTCTCTCTCTCAAATGAGATGATAAAAATATAATGTAGCTCAAGAGCTTAATACATGCTACGGAAAATTTAAAAAAAAAATCGCAAAAAACAAAATGCTATGAAAGCTTAAAAGTATAACCCGAAAATAATTTAGCTTACGGATTACATATTAGGTTTATGTAATATAAACTAATGAAATGCGATTATTGTTTGATCTACATTTCGCTCAATAATATGTTTCTCATGTCTATATAAAATTTCAACTTTACAAATGCTGCAATAATGATTATGATGATAATAAAAATCAACTAGTAATGGCTTAGACAATAATGCGAATTTGGCTTCTTAGTTTTGTTGGTTGGAGAGCTTTTGTTTATAGAGTTCTGCTTTAGGATAAGGAGATAAGATAATTGGGATTACGAGCTCAGAGATCTAAAATGTAGAAAGGAGCAATGTTTTGTTTAAAAATTTACAAAAAATTAACTCCGAACTGAAATGCTAAAGTTAAAAAATAACCACGATCTGATATGCACAACTCTAACAGTAAGTTAGACGTTCCATAAAGAATAAAAAGCATCTTAATATGCAAAACGAAATAATAAAATAAACAAGTATCTATTTTAATTGCCTAGATTTTAAGGTAGAATGACATCAGATCCAACAATAAATGTACATAATCTTTTTAATAAGGAGCAAATTCACCTAATGTTGCATCTAAATACATATGATTACTACATAACCTAATTCGCTTCAGCGTTGATACTTTACACAGAGAACTTAATAATGTACGGTCATAAGCTTATTTTTTTAATTCTTAGTTACATTATATTGAAAATAAAAAAAATTCAGTTCTGAAGTTTTTTTTAATTTTCATTTTTTGTAAATTAATGTACTATATTTCTCATAATCTTAATTAATTTTTTTGTTCAAATAATCTTAATTAATTGACCATGAACAATATATAAAGAGGATGTGCGGAGAGTGTCTGCGCTAAAAAAGAAGGAAAATGACACAAATAGTCCCTAAAATTTGTCCTAACGTGCAATGCGATCTATGAACTTTTAATTTGTTTAATGTGATCCAAGAACTTTAGCCCAATATGTAATATGGTCTCTCAACTTTTAATTTGTTAAATGTAGTTTATAAATTTTTTTATATATGTTCAATTTTTTTTTTTTGTAAGGTAAGTATTATATTGACTTTTCAACACACAAATTACAAGGAAGTAGCCGAACACAAAAACCTCGAACCTGAGAAGACAAAGGATGTCCCGACAGGCGCAAAGGTGTTGCGACTAAGGGAGAAGCACCAAGAGTGCACTAAGCGGCAAGGACAGCTATCCCGCAAAAAGAAAGGAAAAAATGCCTATACAAGGGTCACATAAAGATGGACGCCGCAATACCCCAATTGACTTAGTGTTCTGTTCCGGATTGTCTTCCACCGTTTTGAGGGAGAGCCCTTTGTCCCCAACAGCCTTTAGAAGGTGAGTACGCATAGCAGGCAAAAAAACTGGCCGATTCCTAAAAAGAACGTGGTTCCTTTCTGTCCAAATAAGATGGCAAAGGGTCACAAAGGAAAACCGAGTAATACGCTGATGAAAGGATTGTCCAGTAGTGACCCGAGCAACCCAACGAAAATTTTCTTGGCAGGAGCCATTGCGCCAATAAAGGTTACAATTAGACGCCCAAAAAGAGCAAGGGATCGAGAGATACCGCATACAAAAAAGATGATCAATAGAGTCGGCCACAACGACGAACGCACAGCCCCTACGGAAATTCTCGCGGTAGCTTAAGAGAAGTTCTTGAGTGGGAAGCCTCTTGAGGGAGATAATCCAAAGCAAAAAGGCGTGTCTAGGCGCTATATGATGATCCCAAACAAAGGAATGCTCAATTTAATCCCTGCCCCTACAAGGGTCATATATGTTCAATTTAATCCCTGCACTATATGAAAATGTTCAATGTTGTCCCTGATATTGAATTAATGGAAGGACTACATTGAATAATTTCAAATAGTTCAGGAACTACATTGAACATGTACTAAAAGTCCATAAATCACGTTGAACAAATTAAAAGTTTGAGAGACCGCATTGAACGTTAAGCTAAAATTCAGTAATCATATTAAACAAATTAAAAGTTCGGGGATCACATTGCACAATCGGCCAAAATTCAATGAACATCTGCCTCGTTATTCCCGCTAAAAAAAAGCGACGAATGGATCATTCCTTACCTACTGCTACGGTCTACGTCAGCAAAACCCCCACTCCCAATCGCTACCCTCCGAAAAATAACCCGAGTTAGTTACATCCCTAACCATGGTCAATCCTGCTCGTAGATACCAGCGAAACGACAGGTAAGAACTGCGTGTTCGTATCTATTTAACCACCCACGATATTTCTCGGCGCCACGCATTTTTTTTTCACTTCTCTTTTGCGAGGAAGACAGAGAGCCGGAGCCGCCACCTGACCTGCCTCGCGCCGCCGCATCGCCGCCGCCTCCATGGCCGTCTCGGGCTCTCTGCACCTCCAGATCGCCTCCGCCGCCTTCGAGTGCCGCTCCGATCCGGACTTCCGGAGCCCGCCCAGGCCGGAGAGCGCCGGCCACGGCCGGTTCAGCTGCCGGCCCGACTCGGCGAGGCGGGCGGCGCTGTCGTCCGGCGGCCTGTCGTCTCTGATCTTCCGCTTCCCCCCGAACTTCGTGCGCCAGCTAAGCACCAAGGCCCGGAGGAACTGCAGCAACATCGGTGTCGCCCAGGTGGTGGCCGCGTCGTGGTCGAACAACAACGGCCCCGCCCCCTCTGCCTCCGCCGCTCCGGGCGGAGGCGCTCCATCCCCCGCGGCGGCCATAGCCGGCGCTGCGGCCGCGCCGGTTGTTCCGGCGCTGGACTTCGTGGCCGGCGGGGAGGCGCTGGCGGTGGACGGGGACGTGCTGTCCGAGGATTTGGGCACGCACGGGGAGTCTTCGTTTTTGAGCTCCGATGGGAGTCTCGCGGTTCACGCAGGTATGGATCTCTTGCTTGTTAGTGGCGATTAAGCTCATTTGATTAGAAAATGAAGACGAATGTGCGACGAATTGTGGGTTCCATTTGTGGGAGTTGACCATCATCTTCTAATGGTTATTACTAGGGCTGTGGGGGCCCTTGTGTCATTATTAGGGTTCTATTGTTGATCTCCTGATTGTTAACCGCCTTCCTTTTGGCATATTTCTTGACAGCAGGTCATTTATAGCTTTTGATTAAGTCAAATCATGGGAATGTGAACAAGGAGTGACTGTCTCTTATGTTTTCGAGGAATACAACTTAACTCTGGTGCATTTGCAAAGTTGGAGAAAATTTGTTGATAAAAACCAGTTCTTTGATCCAATTACACCTTGGGGTTCTTTCTGTTAGAAAGATTTGTCTGAGCTCATGTTGTTGTTGCAAGTAATAAGGTATATTGATTATGCAGGTGAGAGATTAGGACGCGGCATTGTCACCGATGCAATTACCACACCTGTGGTCAACACTTCTGCTTATTTCTTTAAGAAAACTGCTGAGCTAATTGATTTCAAGGTACTAACATATCATGATGGATGATCTCTAGCTGTGTATCAACCTCACTTTTGCTCATGTTTTTTTTTTTTTTTTGGTTAATGCAATTTGATTTGCAGTTTGTCCTTTCCTTCGTTGGGGTACTTGTAATATCTAGTTTTGGATATTGCCACAAGTATCGATGGAGGGGCTAATGCCTAATATCATGTGATCATTTTTGCATTTATTTTGTTTCTCTTCCTCTATATGGGAAACTTGCTGGCCTTTTACTCTTCAGTAGTATTGATGCTACTTGCAATCTATCTAACCCATTAGTATTTCCCTGATTCTAATGATAGGAAAAACGCCGTGCAAGTTTTGAGTATGGGCGATATGGGAATCCAACCACAGTTGTGGCAGAAGAGAAAATCAGGTCTGTCTTATTTTCCTCTAACTTCCTGTTTTCGGTGTTATTGACACCCATCCTAAGGGGCTAATCGAGAGTTATCTGTCCTTTCCGATGATGCAGTGCTCTTGAGGGGGCTGAATCAACGCTGATTATGGCCTCTGGGATGTGTGCAAGCACAGTTTTGTTAATGGCATTGGTTCCAGCTGGAGGACACATTGTGACCACCACAGACTGCTACAGGAAGACCAGGATATTCATCGAAACTATTCTTCCCAGAATGGGAATCACGGTAATTGGTTCTACACATTTATGCATTGCACTGGCACAATGTGTACCTTCATGTTCATGGGCTTTCGCAATCATTTCTGAAAATTTTGTGCTGGGATTTTCCAAATATTATCTTCCATTTCCATAGTGTCAGATGAAACTTCTTCATTCGAAATCAACATTTTCAATCTTCTAACTTTGATGAAGTCTTTTAACTATTTTTTGCATTTTCTTATGACTTGTGTTCCATTTTCCAAATATTGTCGTCCTTTTCCTCATTGTTATTGTTGAAAATGCAGGCTACGGTTATTGACCCAGCAGATATAGATGGCCTGAAGTCTGCACTTGAGAAGAATAAAGTCAGTATGCTTATTTTCACTCGTTGAGCTTTTCTGACGGTAATATTGATGGAAAATTGAGTATCTGTATTGAGCTGTGATTTTGCCATTTTCTGCAGGTTTCTCTTTTCTTCACAGAGTCACCCACCAATCCTTTATTCAGATGTGTAGATATCAAGTTGGTCTCTGACCTTTGCCACAGTAAAGGAGCTTTGGTCTGCATTGATGGCACTTTTGCGACACCTTTGAACCAGAAAGTTCTGGCCCTTGGAGCAGATTTGGTTTTGCACTCGGCTACCAAATTCATTGGAGGGCACAATGATGTGTGTAATGCTAGAGTTGCTACATACTTAGTCACAGTAGTCGCAGAAATCTGTTGTTTTCTATTTGACACTGATTTTTTGCAAATTCATTTTCAGGTCCTTGCTGGTTGCATTAGTGGCTCGCTGAAATTGATTACGGAAATTCGTAATTTGCATCATGTTCTTGGCGGTGCTCTCAACCCTGTGAGTTATATCACAATGTTGTCTTGTAGGCTATACAGTTCCCAAAATCTGCAGGAAATGCTAGATGTTCATTTGAGAAGGTTTGCTAATGTCAGAGGCGAGAGAGGGGGTGGGGGTGAGCAAAGATATGATTGATAGTCTGGGCATTTGAGCTAGCTTATGTTTGGAATTTAGACGAGAACTGAGAACGTGTGGAGTAAAATGAATGGGGCAAGACTGTTAACCAGCAGAATGTTGGTTATTGAGAAGCCAAAGGAAAAATAGAGAATGATTAGTTTTGTCGCATACAAGTTTACAGTGTGTCTGTTATCGACGCCAGCATTGCGTTTCCCCCTGTCCTTTTTGTTTTTCCTCTCCTTATAGTCCTATTTATAATTGTTGTGCCCTATTGATAGTTGTTATTTGCAGGAGTACTGATCATGGTCGTTTTCCTTCCTGTTTTATGTACAGAATGCTGCTTACCTGATTATCCGTGGCATGAAGACTCTACATCTTCGTGTACAGCAACAAAACTCAACGGCGCAGAGGATGGCCGAGATTTTAGAGGCACATCCTAAGGTATTTTTTGGCATTCTGTTCTTCATGTCTCCCAATTTATGTCTGGTGAAAGAGTCTTCTATTATAATGTTTTCTGAAGTTTCCATGCTGAGTTAATGAAAAGTTTGAGTTGAGTGGTGCATCTTCTCTCATTCTTCCTCTTTTTCATCTTTTCTCCCTTTCTTGATTTTTCCATCACGTGTTGTTTCCTTTTTGCATTGGTTTAATTATTTTATTCTATCGTTATCCTGTTTGCCTAATCATTTCAAAGATCAATTTAAAAGAACAGGATTAGAAAGTAGCTGTTACTTATTTCGTGTTCTTTCTCATTTGCAAGTTACTTTCTTTCGCAATCAAATAAAGACAGTTGTAATTCTGATCTTAGATGGAAAATAGCTGGTACATTTTGATTTTGCATACCAAGTTATTTTTGAAGAATTTGATGATGCTCCTATCCCAGTATAGTTATTGAGTACAAGTAGAAAATCGGCCAATCTGCTCAAATGAGATCTTGTATATGTGTAATATAGTCAATAATCAAATAAAATGCCAATTGATTATACCAGATTTTGCATTTAGTTCTCAGAGCTTAGTTTGGCACTTGTGTCTTTTAAATACTTGTGAAAGTAACAAAGCATCTTTTACGGCCCTTGGCAATAGGCGTATAGGGAGGACACCAATTGTGATTTATCCATCTATCTGTTAATTTTCTCCATTCTATAGAGAGCACATAGAGAAGCTCTGGGCATGGTTGCGTTAATCCTTTTCTGCTAGTGCAGTTGGGATCATGAGGTGTCGCTGGGCATATCTCCTGGCTGCTTGAATTTGAGTATTTACATTCGGAGTGTAGAAATGATGCGCATTGAAGTGCAGTCTGTCTTTGGGATAGCCACTCTGTCCTTCACTCCATCTTTTGGACGTAATACGATTGAGTTGCAGTTCAAGTTGATATCTATCTTTGATTTGTTTTTTTTTTTTTGGTCGGACATCTATCTTCGATTTAACTAGCATTTTTTTCACGATTTCATTCAATGTGGATTTATGGAAGTGAAGATGATTGGATTTTGAACAGCCTTCTGTCATGTCTTCACTGTTCAAGCTTTTTTTTGGAGCATATTTTGTTTGCTATGTGTATCTGTTGTACATGCATGGAGATCGATATATTAGTGTTGGCATTTGCTTTCTAGAAGACAATATGCTAATGGTCACATTTGTCATCAGGATGGAATGCTGAATCTTAGTGTTCTAGATTATTCATATGCTAAAACACTAGCTTAATATTCTTGTCAGGTGAAGCGTGTCTACTATCCAGGCTTGCCCAGTCATCCTGAACATCACATAGCCAAGAAACAAATGACAGGCTTTGGTGGTGTTGTTAGCTTTGAGGTGATTTAGCGTCTTAATTTTCCGTACCTGGTCATCAAGCCGTCTCATATTGGCTTTCCTGCGCACAGCCTTATAATTTTTGTTCTTCAAATCTTGCAGATTGATGGAGACTTAATGACCACCATTAAGTTTGTGGATGCTCTAAAAATCCCTTATATTGCCCCGTCATTTGGTGGCTGTGAGAGCATTGTGGACCAACCGGCCATTATGTCTTACTGGTATCCTACTGCTTCCTCTCCTCTGTTGTCTTCTGTGTCCTCTTCTTGAATCTTATTGTACTACCGAGATACAAATACTGGTACGCAAGTCTTATAGAGGATTCCGTCGAGAAGTGTGGTGTGTAGACAATCATCCGCCATACTGGTACTTGATTCTGCTGCTCATCTTTTTCTGTTGCATCCGATTTGGAACAGGGACCTGAGCCAAGCGGAGAGGGTCAAGATCGGGATTAGCGATAACTTGGTGAGGTTCAGTTTCGGGGTCGAAGACTTCGAAGATTTGAAGGCTGACGTTCTTCAGGCACTGGAGGCCATATAGTGGGCATGCACCCACCTGCAACTGCGCTCTTATTTTTGTGTCTTTGTTTCTGTTTGGTGTTTCAATTGGCTTTCGATAACCAAATCTGTCTTTCGGCTAATATTCTCTTTTGATGAAACTTGGCATAACTATAGCCATTCTTTAGATGTGACCGTTTGTTTTCAGCGCATGGTTCCCGTCCATCCTTTATATTTTCATACAAAAGCTGCGATGCGCTCTTTTTTGTGGTGACAAGCAGGGATCTCTGTGTAAAGGAATTAGGTAGCATTAGGCACAAAAAAGGAGGAGAGACTAGATTCAAGAGTCCCAGATAAGTAGTGACGTGCATTCGTTGGGAATAAGTTTAGTAAACGCATTGACTATGGACTTGTAGAGGATAGCGCATCAACCAAAATCTTTGCATCAAGTCGATCAATAATTTTTAGAAAGGTGTTGAGGTTCCTCGCTAGTCACAGCCCCTCCCTGCGAAGCTCGATGCTCAGCCATCATTGTAGAGGCGGATCCAAGCTTTCTCCGAAAGACCTCTCTGAAATGACACCCCCGGTCCTGGTTTCACACGGGTTGGACTGGACCGAGCCTCATGTATTTAGCTTGGCTCAGGGCGGCGGTTTTACCCATTTGATAAGAGTCATGGAAGTAGCATGAGGCGATGGAATGTGGTTTTCCGACGAGCGGAACTCTGCCGTGAGCGACGAATTGGATCAAAGTGTCCCCTTATCGCGATGACACCAGATTCCCCAAACGGTGTAGGCGAGAACAGTGGTTCCGGTGTTGGGTGGAGGATATATATATAGGGTGTGTTTTTTTCACAACGATATGAAAAATATTTTCGTAAATATTTCTTATTGGCGTCACTCTGTGAATTTGCGAATCTGTTATTACAATTTTAGCATTGCTTCGCCAAAAAGAAATACACGAGAATGTGCTTGCTTCACGAAAAAAAAAATAACGTGAAAAATATTTTCATAAAAATAATTATTTATTACGCTTAAAATAATTAGTCAGCAATCATAACCCCACCCTATCTTCTAGCTTCGAATATATCGAGCTTTGCATCCCCATCCACATATTCTTATCAGCACATTCGGTAGATTCCATTCTCTCTCTCTCTCTCCCTCTGTCTCTCCGCAAGCGTTATTCTAACTCCGCCTCTTTCCATTCTGTTTCACTTTAAGACAGAGAAACTCTCAAAAGCCAGAGAGAGAGAGAGCCTCATCTTCTTCCGTCCTTCCCAATACCCCCCCAGAGAATCGTCCATACCCATCTCTGGCCGTCCGTTTTTTCCTTATGAAATTTGGGAAGGAGTTCACGACCCATCTGGAGGAGACCCTGCCGGCGTGGAGGGACAAGTTCCTCTGCTACAAGCCCCTCAAGAAGCTCCTCAAGCGCTTCCCCCCCTCCTCCTCCGCCGCCGCCGCCGATGACTCCCTCCCTCCCCACCTCGACCTCGCCCCCGACCCGAACCCGAACCGAGGGGGGCCCGATCCGGGCGATGATGTCGGGCGCGAGGGCGGCGGCAACGACGCCGTGGGCGGGGCCCTGGTGGACCTGCAGGAATGGTTCGTCAGCATCTTGAACGAAGAGCTCGACAAGTTCAATGATTTCTACGTCGACAAGGAGGAAGAGTTCGTCATCCGTTTTCAGGTATGCCAATCATTCTTCCCCCCGCCCCGCCCACTTTTTCCTTTTGATGTCATGCGCGCGGCTTGTGATTTTCTGTGGGAATTTCTGCTCGTGACTTGCGGTTTCGTAGTTCTCGTGTTGAATTGTGGATACGGTTCTGTTATTTTATATTGGGTCGAATGCGATTTTGGCCTGGAGAACTCCATGCTGCAATGAATGGACAATTCGGGGTTGGAATCTTCCGGTGATCACCGTGAATTAATGCACCGTCGGGTCGTCGATTCTCAAGCTTCTTAATTTGACTTGAAGCTAGTGGTGGAATTGCTCGTGAAATAGTTCGTGTGATGCTTGAAGTTGCATTGAAGAAGGGGATTGGGAAGTCAAGAAATTGTTATTGTTTTGAGCGAGTCGCAAAGTTCAGTGTCATCTTAAGAGCCTAGATTTTACTCCTAAAGAGTGATTGGGTTGGGCTCTGTAGTCACATTTAGTCACTATTCCAGTGTATGGTTCTTAGTAAGAACCGGAGAAGTGATTGATTTTGTCTCCATAGCAAACTCTAGCAACAAGGAGTTAGGGTGGGAATTTGTTGATTTCGTGAAAGGTTGTCGAAATGCCTTTACTGCATTTTCGCTCGACAACCGAATTTTGCTGTCTTCATTGTGGGTGTCCACACACTTATGTATGCTCCTGGATTGTTACTTCTTCCTCTTACATAATGATGAGTTCAATATGGTGAGGTTGCAGGGCATGTGAGCTGGAGAGAGCGTACTCCAAGAGTACTGAATATATTCTATGCAGCCTACAACCCAAAGAGAGTGTCAAATTCTTAACCAGATTTTACAACTTGCTTTTGCTTGTCTTGGCAGATCACTGGCTTAAGTGACAAAACATCTTAATCAAAAAGCTTCTTTTGAAGGGGTATCGTCCATCACTGTAGAAAGAGCTGATTTAGGAAGTTTTGTTTGGCTCTTAATTTGGAGAATCTACAGTTTTAAATCAAGTAATTCAAATCATCGTTGAAAGAGCAAGAGAGTGGTGGCCTTCCTTGCCCTCATTATCTCTGATTAATGTGGCCCTACTATTTAGAAACAGATTGTTCACTAGGGTCAAATTGTAGTCATCGGACCTATTGTAATCTACATGCTGTGTCATGCTTGCTTTTTCCTGACCTTGGCTTTGCATCACTGCTTTCTGCTAGCTAAGCATTTTCTTTTGATTTTATGCAATTTAACTTGTGCTAGTGTCGTACGGAGAAGTATCATGGCTGTCATCGCTGATTCCTGCTTGTTATCTCCTGGCTGGTGTTGCATATCTAATTTGGTTCTCAAGGTCATCTGTTTAAAGCTTTTTTAAGTGCAAATGAACATTTTGATGGGGGGGACCTATGAAGTATGATAATTTTTCTCTTCTTTCGTGTTAGCGCGATCATTTTTACTTTTTGACTTTTATATGGACATTGGTATCAAGTGTCGGGCCATGCTGAAATTGTTATGGTATTGTTGGAAAAATGAGTTGTCAGTGTTGAAACTTTGTAATTGATATGATTGTGCCACTTGATGCCTCTTCAAGGAAGCATTGATCACTTGTTCATTTTTGGGATTTTATTTTCCTTTTTGTTGCCTTACTGCAGGAATTGAAGGAAAGGATAGAGCAAGTTAAAGAAAAAAGTAGCAAAGCTGGCACCTCTACATCAAAAAGTGAGTTTAGTGAACAGATGATGGAAATCCGCAAGGACTTTGTCACAATCCATGGGGAGATGGTGCTTCTTAAAAATTACAGCTCCCTTAATTTTGCAGGTACCTTGGCTTCTTATTTTGGATTTTCATTTCTAAATCTCTTTTGAAATTTCACCTGCCAATGAAGGACACTTTCTTAAATGACAAAATGGTGCTTCCTCTAGCTTGTAAAATCTTTTGCAAATAAAAAAAAATCATTATCTTTCGTTCTATCAAGTAAAAAAATCATTCCCTTTGTTTTTGTAGGCCTTGTTAAGATCTTGAAGAAATATGACAAAAGAACAGGAGGCGTATTGCGTCTGCCATACACTCAGCTTGCTCTCGATCAACCCTTTTTTACAACGGAATCACTCACGAGGCTAGTACGGGAATGTGAAGAGAATCTTGAACTCCTCTTCCCTCTGGAAGCGGAAGTTATTGAATCAAGCCCAGCCACTGGCAACCCATCAAACCAACCAATGAATGACACTACTGATGTCCCGACAGAGCCATCCTTGACACTTGGGGAGGAAACCATGGACATTTACCGGAGCACCCTTGCTGCAATGAGAACGATTCAAGGCCTCAAGAGGGCGAGCTCTACCTACAATCCACTATCCATGTCATCCTTCTATATGAGACATGATGATGAAAGTAATGGCGCTGTGACCTCCGAAGACTCGGCCTCGAATTCCCCTTGCACGGTGCAGAATGGGGAGGACACTGATCGGGAGGACGCAGATGGGTCCCTCTAATCCAGTGAAGTTAATTTTATTTGATTTCGGAGAACTAATGGAGTTGAATAATCGCGCTAATGTGAGCAGCGTGAAGACACTAACTGCAATCAATGCGAGCGAATGACAAGGCACTGTACAGCCCATAGGCACAGCTTCTGCAGTTGATGTAATTGAGCTTCTTCAAGTACACTTTCTGGAGGGTTTGCTCTTGGTATAAGCCATGGGAAGTTTGCTTTGCATTAAATGTGGCTTGTGTTCTTGAAAATTTTAAGCATAGGAAGTGTCGAGCCTTTGATTAGTCGACCGGTAAGCTTGTAATTTTGTTTTGCTCATCAGGTAAATCAAGAAGTTTAGTTGCTGAGAAGTGAGAACTGCGGTATCCATCTCCCCGCTCGACTTCTCGCATCTCCTTTTTCATTTCTTGGTGGTGTTCTCTGTTCCCTTTTCTTGTTTTTTTTTTTTTCATGAAATCCCTGTATTTTCTTCCTGGGAATGCGAGATGGGGAAAGCGAAACCGGGTGTGTTTGATATGAAAGAACCCGGATTAGCTGCTGTCCAGTTAGCAGCCAATGCCTGCTGCTGCCCGGGCATGTCGATGTCGTTGGATAAACTCTCTGTCACCAGCTTTGGTTCTGCACGTCCTTCATGTGCCATAGAGAAGAAGTGCATTCTTGGTTTTCACCTCTTTTTCCATTTTTCTTCTCTCTCCTCTCGGTTTCAGTCTATTCTGGTAAGTTACGTCAATTGTGCAAGGCGGGAGACCTAAATGATTGATTTTTCCATTCTATAACGCTACTTTCAAATTTCTGTGAATTTGATCGAGCAATTGTAATACGGGTGCGTAATCTGTTTGAATCGAACTCCAAGTTTTGTTGCATTAGTAGGTGTTGGGCCGCATGTAAGTGTTGGGTCGAAGCAATCAAATACTCTATGATAAATTTTCTCACTTTTGTTGATGTACAAACTTCATGTCCTTGGGTTCTTTGCTCGGACCTATTATCCTTCTTCAGTCACTGACAAGCTTTGTACATGGAAAAAATTGGTGAAAGAACTGCAACAAAGTAATGGTTTTTCAATTCGCCAGGAGTAATGGACATACTCGCTTCGTTCTTCGATCCCGACGCCGTTTCAAGCGCCCTCGTCGTCTTAGTCTTGGTTGAAAGGAAGGGGTACCGACTTGAAGGCCCGGTACTTGCCGACATTATTCAAGTGCTCATTTTCCAACCTGGGGAATTTTAAGGAAGAGGGAATCACTGTTTCATTACTTATGTACGAATGCAAAATTCCTAAAATCTCGACGTGCAGGGGGCCGAAATGGAAGTCTGCAAAAATGGTGTGAACAATATTCACCCGAGGATGAATACTGATGTGTTATTCACTGCACATTGACCGGCAGTGTCAATAAGCAATGAGCAGGCGTGTCAATGTATTCTTCTGCTTCAAAGTACAAAGGCAAGAGTGGGGAAAAAGAATATGGCATACCTGAAAAAATTCCAAATTCCACGGCGGATTATTTCTAAGCTAGCGATGACCGCAATCAAGGCTCTTCTATGTAGGAAAGGCGCCTCTCTGAAGCCTAAGATGTTCTGCATCCATGCAAGTCTCAGTATGACATTTAGTACCTGCATTTGCACATAAGTTGAGCAGAGTTGGTCCATGAAGCACGTTGTCTGTAGCGGAAAAAACAAGAAAGGCAAAGAGCTTCTAGCATTCCGCCTTCAACTTTTCTGCATAAACATTACAAAAGTTGCGCGGCACAAAATGCGCATTTGCTTACCATGGCTACGAAGTAAACGCTTCTGTTTTGAATTGCGAGTTTATCTCTCAGCCAGGAGTTCTTGGCGTTTCGCCTCAGGAGGCCCCAGTCAATGACAAGATCCCAATACGTGTTGATGACCATTGCAACCCCCGAGGTGGTCCCAGCGATGATCTTCCACGTGAACCCCCTTCTCAATTCATGACCGGTTCTCGCAACAACCGCAACGATGGTTGAAAAGTACTTCAGGCCGTTGACCCCATGCATTGTGTCTCTATCGTCGTACAGGCGCCGAAGGCACTAAAAACATAGGAATGTCATGAGACGAATACTATATCAAAACGCAAAGTGGAAAATTTTCAAAGGAAACGAGACAAGATGCTAAAAGCAGTTCTTCAAAGAGGCTTCATCGACAAATTTTTATGAGAACCTGAAACAAACCAAGTTTCCATGCGGGTTACCTGAAGACAACGCAGCCAATATGGAATAACTGCGACGATGAAGTAAAACACTTCAAAGAGTTTGCTTTCTTCAAACTTGTGTGTTCTTCTTTTGAAGTTTCCCCAACCATAGTAACAGATATAAAACTCCAGATTTCTGAAGGCCTGAACCTGAAAGTTAGTTGCAACAGGTACAAGTCACATGCAAGGAAAACCTCGGTTCAAAGATCACCATAAGAATGACGGTGTAATGAGCTAATTCAGTTTTGTTTGTTCAGATGACCTTCACCCAGGATCTAACAGAACACGGTCACTCGATGTTGTTTTAGAAGAGAAACATGACCCGTAAATCATGAGAAAGGATTTTGCTGAAGTAGGCAATGAGCAATTTTCAGAATCCTGGTATAGACGTTGATTAATATGTCAAGAAGATCAGACTAGTGAACAACATGTCAAAAACAGAACATGCAATTATTCTTTGATATGGTGTTAGGTGGTTCACAAAATTTGGTTATAGGCTTTACACCAACGCGAGCTGAAACCACTTTGAAATACAGTTAACCGCTAGTAATGTAGAACTTTGTCACAAGAAATATGAGTACTGCAAGAGCAAACCTGGCTGGTAAGTTGATCTGCCAAGAAGAAATCAGGTAGTGATTCCTGCAACATCGATATAGAGAAATGAGTATCACCTCGTACTTCATGAAGGTTATATGTCGGGTTTGTCTTAAATCAGTGTGGTTACCTTGTAAAATGGAGCACATATACAACGAAAGGCACACTGAATCAGGAAGAAGCGGCTCGAACGGTATATGATGTTGAAAGGGCAGAATGTTATGCAAATCACAACCTGTCAAATGGAGTACTTAAGTCTCGTTAATTACCAAATTAAGACTTCTCCTACTAACAAATTTTCCACTTTCAAATGCATAAGTATCAACATTGAATGATTGGAGCAATTTCGTTCAATCTTACCCCGACCAACCCGAGGGGAACTAATTCTGTCAATGCCTTATAGCTTTCCGTTCTTGGGTCCATGTCCATATCAAGATTAGACAGAACGCCGGCCAACATTAAAACTGAGAGCCCAGAGCTAAGAAGGAGGACTTCCCGATAACCCAGTTCTGTCCCTTTTTTGAATCCAAATATAAAGGGATAATTGATCCGATAGCGCCTCCAGAAGTATATGTTTGCAGCGTACATCACCATATGCAAGATAATGAATCCGAACAAGCTGCAGAAAGAAGGTATTCCGAAATGATTCATCGATCCATTTAACACCTTTCTAAATTTCCCAGTTCAAATGGTAATGAACTTGAAAGAGACATTTTAACTTGCCTATAAAGGGGAAACATAGTATTCATGTACTGGTCGCGCCCGGGACTTTTTAGGAGATCCCTTGCATGTAGAGCCACTATAATGCCCACTATAAGAGCCACTGTGCATCCAGTAAAGCAACCTACAAGCACCAGATTAACAGAAAAATGTACCCAGAGGGACATAACTGATAAGAACTTAGGTAGAAAGAGGCAGTCACGGTCTCACAAATCGAAAGAGCTTATTAGCCTTGTCTCGCACGTTCTGAGAAAGAAAGTATAGGATGGATCATTAGTTGGAACTAACGAGGTTTTTTCTTGTAGAATGTTTACCTAGAAAGAATGTAATTCTATGCTTCTCTCTCTTAGCTTTGGGTCTTAGGGTTCTCATCCCTTTACGGCGGTTTCCATAAGCAAAATGCTTAATATATGCAGCTTCAACTCTTTCCATAAGCCTTGAAACCTGGGGTTCAAAAGATGATCCAAAGTGTATTTGTTACTGAGAAGGGTGTCAATATCCACAAAAAATTTAGTATCTCAGTCGCTAGTTATAACCTCATTAGAGCTGCCGAGATACGAATCATCCACCATCTTTAAGTAAGACCGTGAAGCATTGCGATGAGTGATCTGCATAATTTGATATTAGAATAGCATAGCTGAGCATCGAAAGACCTTGAAGAAGATAGCTCCAATGATAAAGTTAATGTACCTTGTCGTACTTCTTCATTATTTTGGAGAATGCCAGTTGATTCAAGAAGCTGTTAGGTTAACTGGCTTGTCATTATACTGAGAAAAGGAATACAGATGATACTGGATTATGCTTAAATTGGCGAAGCATGGCCTTACCAGTAGCTCTTTATAAGTTGAAGCTTTTGGTAGAATTCCCTAAAAGCTCTCATCATCAATTCCTCTGCTTTCCTCAGCTCTGCCTTGGTGGACGACACATCCGAGTTTAAACTCATCAGGATTTCTTTAGCAGCTAATACTGGACTTTGAGGTTGGACAGTGATATGTACATGATCTGTGATACTAATCGGAGCTGGTCTGCAGTTAGAGCTATTGGCATTTCTGCTGTTGGCCGTATGATCCGTATCTGCTGCTTTCGCGGTGCCATCATCTCTATCTTCTGGTTTATCGATTTCCTCACTAGTCATCTCAACTTCTTGGATGACACTCATTTGTGTCCATTCTAGACAAAAACAGAACGAATTATGAAATTGTTAGATTGAGAATTTCATCACAAGCCTGAAAGGGGAATTCACGTTAAGTCCTCCAATTTGCAAGGTTGAACCTCTTACACTAAGATCACATAATTGCAGAAGCTAAATGTGAAATATGGTCATCTAGATGCCATACTAATTTTTTTTCAGAATTTTTGCCACGGGCAAAGATTCAAACAGATTCAATTCTCTGATACTTGCACTGCAGCTTTCCAAAAATTTTCACCCGAAGAAAACGAATTTGGAGCACCAGTTTTCTGGAGGCAAACTTAAAGAAATACAGAAATCCAGACTGGCATTTGTGCTACTTGGTAGGTGAACTGACATAAAGAAGTTTCATACCAGGACAAGAAAAGCAGCAGAAACTTAATGTGCACACCACCTTACCTGATCTTGTACCGTTAACAGAAACGGAGGCTGGGGATGGCGAGATACCAACAGAAGCGATGCTAGTGTTGGTCCCCGATAATCCCATGACCGGTTTCTCGACCCTGATGCGAAGAGTGATCAATCCATTCATCTGCTTGCTCAGTTCATCTGCCTCGGCCACCACTTCCTCTACCTTCTTCTTATAAAAGCCCAGGACTTTGTTGAACTGGTCATCCAACCTCCTGAAGAACAAGAGCTCATATTCGCCTCCGTTGTCGGATGACCTCAGAAACATGGTCTGGTACCTCCTGGGATCCAATCCCACCTCTTGAACAGCACTGACTAGTATCACTTCTTCGTCTTCACTACTTTTCCTGGGAGACCGTGTGTACCGACTTGTTAGCCCGCTGAATGCTCGGTAGAGCGATCCCCTTCTCTTTAAAGGGCCCTGCGAGGTGGTCGTTGATGCTCCCGGGGATGGCTGGGAATTCAGCTGTCGATGGCGCAAGGCGTCCTTCAAGATCGACTTGAGAAAGTTGTAATCCATGTAGGCATCTTGCCATTCTTGCACCATTTGGGACACAAACTCTTTCCCAAACTTCATCTTATGCTTATAATACAAATGTTGCTTCCCAGTGTACTGCTTCTTCAGCCGAACATGAATGAAACTGCAAGAAGTTGTTGAACTGCAAAGTACTGATGAAGGGAAATTGCTCTTGGCCCCTTCTTATATATGGAGAGGCTAGGCAAGACTCAAGAATGGAGAACATGAGACAAGATCAACGTGTGAGAACAAGAACAAGTCTCTCAGAAGAATAATATGGGATTGGAAAAGATCGCCTGTCTTTGGATGTTTCTTCTCATGCCTCAACTATCATTTCAATTTAACGGTTCCACTAACACATATATGATGAATAGTCAGAGAGAGAGAGAGAGAGAGAGAGTTGGTGCGGAGTTAATTGCGAATGTTACCTGTGTGTCCCTACACGACAGTCACGGCAGAGAATAATTTGAGATAAAAAAGTAGTTCCTAACAATGAACACTCACAATTGTGTTTTAATATGATGTTCTCCACTTTCATCGTCCTTTGTATCTCATTTTCCTCTACTTTTACTTTCCCGGTTCGAGCGGCTCAGCCTCTAAGAACATCGCACAACCCAGATTCGAACTCTGAGATCTTAAGCTTGCTGTTAACTTCAGTAACAACAACCACCATTTGAGGACAAACTTGGGCCTTGGATAAAAAAAAAAACGACCCGCTTTCGATACTAGTTCTTATCTTACCATGATATTGGATATTATTAAATAGCATGGCCTGCGTGTCACTTTCTGGTCCCATGCATCGACCACACCCGCGCGCCCCCCCCCCCCCCCCCCCCCCACATCGCTGGAAGAATTGCGTCGACAAAAGCCATTAGTTGCTACCGGAAAGATGGAATCGTTGTCGCACTCATGAATACTTTTCTTCGTCTGGGGCCAATCTCTGTCTTCTGAACCTTTCAATTTCTGCTGCCTGTGTTGTGCCTAGCGACATCGGAGGTCATGACCCACCACGGCCACCGCCTTCCGGTGTTAGCCCCCAAACGCGAAGTTCTTTGTCCACCGTCGCACCACGCATTAGTGAAGTTAGAGGTGGCAAAATGGGTCATGGACTCAGTATTTTAACTCGTTTTAGTCAAACGTAAGAATGCGGAAGAGAGAAAATAAGGAATTTATGTATATTTCAATATATGGAAAAGACTACATGGAGAGTCTATTTATAGGTTTTATGAGATGACTATCTAAGACGAAACACGATATTAAATATAATCAATCATGGATATGCACTACCAAATGAGATATATGCATAATCCTAAAAGATATGCAAAATGAGGTAAATATCCTAATATCACTAACGGTTTTAATGGCTCGGGTGACATATGCATTGCCATAACTTTAAAATGTGGATTGGAATGGGCCTGATAAAACCAACCTGGGGTTCCAGTGGGTATGAAAAATCAAGCCTGATACTTTTGGATTTGAAACTAAGTTGAAGAGAGCAACTGAATGTAGAGATATGTGTTTCCATATTTCATAGTGATGATGTCTGTTACTTAATTTTTTATTTGCAATGGTATATGTTAATTTTTTTTGTTCTTCAGTATGCTATTTTCCATATTCAAGGGAAAAATTTGTTAAGAATTGGAGCTTGGATCTGATCAGGTATACTTTGGGTCTGGTACGGGTCGAGATGGGTATGAGTCAATAAAATTGTAGTACATGAATATATGTTAACATGGGTTAAATTGGTCAATTTGGATTGGACCCAATTTCAACCTATTCAAACCCAACTCAATCCATCCATTTGAAAAGCTTACACGGAGGAAATTGCTTGTCACTCGAGCAAGATCCACCACCTTCTGCCTCACCACCAACTCCACGCCTCGTCCGTAATCCGACCACCGAACCCATCCATGCAGGTGTTTTTTGTCCGTCAGCGCGACGCTCATCCATGTCTCCAAGTTGCTGCTATGCCACATGAAGTCCTAGTCCACAACTTGGCCCAAGTGCCCAAGCTCCCTCATCGACTCGACGAGCTAGTCTCTCGAGTCACCAATTTTTTAGAGACAACAATATTAGGAGAAAAAATTATAAGAATAATATTAGGTATGAGTTGGGATCAGGTCAAGTCAAGTATTGGTCGCTAAAATTATATTGCATAAAAATGCGTCAACATGGGTTATATAGGCCACGTTGGTTCGGATCATTTTTGACCCGACCTATCCATTTGCCTGGCCTAGAGTGCACCAATCTCACACAAATTTCAGAACGACTAGACCCAAAACAAATACTATTATAGTGCACCCAGAGTATCGTACAGACTTAAAACTTACAACATATCGTCATAGTTAAGTGTAAGAATCTCTTAACATGTCGGAGAATGGTTGTTCGACATTACAATGCGACGTCGTGATTAATCGCAAAAGCGATTAATATAAGCTATATGGTGCAATGGTACGCCTAAGGAACGAATGGATCAAATCGTGACAGTCATCCGTTGTATGTTGGTTCCCGAATTTCGCAAAACAACTAACAATAACAAGTAACAAACCCGCTAAGTTCTCTTACCACCTTCTGAAAAGGGGGAAGAAAACAGTAGATCTCGCATCTGAGTGAGTGTAGCTCACACACAACCAAAACGTTGTCACGTAAATCACCAATCACTGAACCAGAAGTAAGGAAAGAAGAGGAAGAGAACCACGAAATGCCGAGGTTTAACGCGGCGTCAAGAGTGGTGATGATGTTGATTTGTATGTGGAAGGTGGGGAACTGCATGCGGTTCGACCTCGAATCGGGCCGCTCCAAATGCATAACAGAGGACATCAAGATCAATGCCATGACTGTTGGCAAGTACTCCCTCGTCAATCCTAACGAAGGCTATCCAATCCCTGACGATTACAAGCTCACTGTCAAGGTACATGAGACAATACCCTTCAAGTAATTTTCGAGAAATTACTGTTTTTCGGAAATGATTTGGACAATACGGATGTGCACAACTCCCTGGCTTTTATTTGTTTGTCAATGAGGCATTGTTCAGAGGACTGATGAGATGATTGTTGAGCGGGGGTGTTTTGTGTTTGTAGGTGAACTCACCTCAGGGACACAACTATCATCACTCGGACCATGTCGACTCGGGTAACTTTGCATTCACAGCAGCTGAAGCAGGCGACTACTTGGCATGTTTCTATGTGCCCGATCTCAGGCCCCCGAGGACATTGGTGATAGATTTTGACTGGCGGACCGGCGTTGCCGCCAAGGACTGGTCTAGCGTTGCTAAGAAGGGTAACATCGAAGTAAAGATAAATACTCATTCTGCAAACTTCAGTTCAATGTTATTTACTGTTTTGTTGACTGACTAAGATTGTGTTCCCAATGATACGTTCATAATATACCGGCATTTGCTATATTGGTGGGTTAATCTGTCACTCTCTCCCCACTTTGGACTAGGCAATGGAAGTCGAGTTGAAGAAGCTGCTGGACAAGATCGCATCCATTCACGAGGAGATGTTTTATCTTCGCGAGAGGTATAATAATGCGAAGCCTTCACACAATAGAGCATGCTCAAATTGGTGACTGCTAGTTGTCTATACACTAGAGAATTAGACAGAACATATTCTGTTGGTTCCATCTTTACAGAATTGAAGCTCTTATTCGCGTTATATTTTCATGAAAACACAGCAAACTGCATTTAACTTCTTTCTTGTGCTAAATGGATGAAGTCACTGATTGCATCCGCTAAACTCTTGAGCACATTGAAAAAATCAATGTTCAATCTCAACATATACTGTTCATTTCATGGCATGGCATTCAGTACTTACTTAATACTTCGATATTCGACTATATCTCTATTGCCGCACCATGATGATCGGTACATGAAAGTAAAATCCCTCAATGTGCGTTCTGGTTGTGTTTTACAGGGAGGAAGAGATGCAAAAGCTTAACAGGTCGACCAACTCCAAGATGGGCACCTTCAGTTTCCTCTCACTCCTGATTTGCTTGTCTGTGGCTGGTCTGCAATTCTGGCATCTCAAGTCATTCTTTGAGAGGAAGAAGCTCCTTTAAGCCTCTAATTTTAGACTCGAAAACCTGTCATTTGAAGCGCTGTCATATGCTTTTATAGTTCTCATCATTTCATTCTGCATCTGCCTTATGCAGATGTGAACGGATTGATTCAACTTTCATTGATCATGCAGCCGGTCGGACTATGATGATTGATCTATAACAATGCTTGTAGCTTTTATATTTGTACGTCGATCATTCACTTCTATATGGAGTTAGAATAATTGCAGCCCACATGATATTATTAATGGTTTAATAATTATTTAAATGCTAGAAACGTATTGGCTATGAAAAATTGCAATTTTTATGAAGAAAGAATATGAGAAGTTGCCACTTATATGAAGAAAGAATATTCTATATGCTTTGATGGAGGCATCCATTGATAGCTTATAAAAGGAAGTCTGGTCCTCTCTCCACCTACACCGACAATGAAAGGTTATATTATATCCTCCATCAGATAAAATACATTAAGCAAAAATGGGTTAAGGGAGCGAAATAGGTTTCAACAATCGATTGGGGTTGTTGCCCTTCTCAAGGTTACTACTTTCTCAAGGTTATTGCTATGAATAAAGGTATGTGTTAATCTTCTTGTCATGAATAAATCATGAAGATCTAAGATTCTTCTTTTATGAATTTCCGCATTATCGATTACTTTATTGCTAATAGTTGGTATCATAGCATCGTTTAAGATCTCATGATTTTTCCGATTAATGAAATATATGGTTTCGTTAATGTTCTCCCAATAATGCTCTATATATATATATATATACAATATATATATACACATCAAATTGATTGATTCAAGTACTTGCTTAATGAAATTGCACGTAAATATCTATTTTGCTTTAGTGCTCTTAATGTATATATATTCCAGCACGTTAGTTGTTTTGCTATATGTATTCATATATTTTTATATGAATTGACATATATTCTTAAGGCATCATGATATATAATTTGATTCTCATAACTTTATGACAATTTTATCAAGAAAGTGATTAAATATTAATGTTTAGAGATAATCAAATTATGAAACAATTAATGTGTATTACAATTTAAAAATTCAATTATGAATGGTTTGTTAGTCACCAATGTGGCCAAACCTTGAATTTTGAAGTTGTATAATGTTTTATTCAATTAATTGATGCTATGGCTGAAGTTGATATGTTACATAAGTATATTGAAGTTAAGTTATTATAAGAACTTAGAGATTCACCCCAAAGGTAAAATCAATTTCTTATAATTCATGAACATAATAGTTGATAATTAATATCTCTTGTTAGATTTGTTTGTATATCCAAAGATAGCAAATAAATTTTAATGAGGTTTATTTATAATTACCAAATAAAAGTTATTAACATCATTATGGTTTAATGTATGGTTGTATATCGTAGGATCACCCAAAGGAGAACTATGTTACATATGTATTGTTTAATTTGAATATGATTATGTGATATTCTGAAAGCATTGATATATGAGTTTTTTCTTGTATATTTGCAGTATTAGTACATGTTTCTCTTCGTTCGCATGCATTGTTTGTTCCATTATTCAATTGAATGAATTTCTCTGTTGTGTTAACTGTGCAAAGGTGAGAGACCTAAATAATTGATTTTTCCATTCTATCACGCTACTTATGAACTTTTTTGAACTTGAACTAGCAATTCTGATACGTGTATATATAATCTGTTTCAATAGAACTTCAAGTTTTGTTGGGTTAGTAGATGTTGCAAGGAAACAGAATGAGTTTTCTATGAACACGAACTTTATCCAATGCTTCATGAGAATCGAGGTCCAAAAGCAACCCAGTGTTGGGTTGAAGCAATCAAATACTCCATTATGGTATTTTCTCACTTTTGTTGATGTGCATGATTCACGTCCTCGGGTGCTTTGCTCGACTTATTATCCTTCTAGTCGCTGAAATGCTTTGTACATGGCAAAATTTGGTGGAGGTGCTGCAACCAAGTCATATGCCAGGAGTACAAGACATTCCTTGTTCCATTCTTCAATCTCGAAGCTGTTTCGAGCACCCTTGTCGTTGTCGTCCTAGTCATGGTGGAATGGAAGGGGTACTGACTTGAAGGCCCGGTAGTTGCCGACATTATTCAAGTGCTCATTTTCCAACCTGGGCGATTTAGAGGAAAAAGGAATCACGGTTTCAGTGCTTATATAAGGAAAGCAGAATTCCTAAAATCTCGAGGTGCAGGGGACTGAAATGGAAGCCTGCAAAAATGGTATGAATAATGTTCACTTTAGGATGAACTCCAATGCGTTATTCACTGCTCATTAAGCAGCAGTGTTCAATCAGGTATGCTGATGGATTCTTCTGCTGCATGGTACAAAGGTTAGAGCAGGGAAAAAGAACTTGGCATACCTAAAAAAATTCCAAATCCCACAGCGGATGATTTCCAAGCTAGCGACGATCGCAATCAAGGCCATTCTATGTAGGAAAGGCGCTTCTCTGAAGCCTAAAATGTTCTGCATCCATGCATGTAACGACCCGGTCCGACGAGTGGGGGGAGTGTCACCGGGGCCGGTGGATTATGGCCTGAGCAAGGAGCGGCTTCTGGCAAGCTTCTAGGATGGCAAGGGGGGCATGTCTCTTGTCCCACATCGCCTAGGAGGGGAGTCCTGGGCTAGTTTATAATGCTTGGGGTTCTATATCTGTGTAATGCGTTTTAAAGCCGTGAGGGTCAGTGGACCCAAAACGGACAATATTACATAGTGTAGACCCGGGGTGTTACAATGCAAGTCTCAGAATGACTTTTAGTACCTGCAGTTGCACATAACTCAAGCAGGGTTGGTCCATGAGATATGCCCACTAGCGGCAAAACAAGAAAGTGTAGACATTATGAAAGTTGCGTCGCACATTGTGCGCATTTGCTTACCATGGCTACAAAGTAAATGCTTCTGTTTGGAATTGCGAGTTTATCTCTCAGCCAGGAGTTCTTGGCGTTTCGCCTCAGGAGGCCCCAATCGATGACGAGATCCCAGTACGTGTTGGCGACCGTTGCAACCCCTGAGCTGGCTGCTGCAATGATCTTCCACGTGACCCCTCTTCTCAAATCATGACCCGTTCTCATGACAACCGCAACGATGGTTGAAAAGTACTTCAGGCCGTTGAGCCCGTGCATTATGTCTCTCTTGTCATACAGGCGCCGGAGGCACTAAAAGCATCGGAACGTCACCAGAATGTTGAGAACCAACATGACAGAAGAAATAATTGTGATATTACATAGCTGAGAACCAACATGACAGAAGAAATAATTGTGATATTACATAGCAAAGAGGAAAATTCTCAAAGGAAACGAGACAAGACACTGCAAGCAGTTCTTTTTGAAGAGGCTTTGTCAATGGAGAATTTCATAAGATCTGAAACTAATTATGTCTTCATGTGAGTTTACCTGAAGAAAACGCATCCCATATGGAATAACTGCAACGATGAAGTAAAACGCTTCGTAGAGTTTGCTTTCATCACACTGGTTTGATCTTGTTCTGAAATCTCCCCAACCATAGTAACAGATATAAAACTCCAAATTTCTGAAGGTCTGAACCTGAAAAATATTTGCAACAGGTACAAGTTACATGCAAAGATATCTTGGTTCGAAGATTACCATAAGAAATTACCATACTTTTGTTTGTTCAGATGACCTTCACTCAGGATCTAACAGAACAGGGTCACTTGTTGTCTAGAAGAGAAACATGACCCATAAATGACGAGAAAGGATTTTGCTGAAGTAGGCAATGAGCAATTTTCAGAATACTGCTATAAATGTTAGGTCAAGAAGATCAGACCAGTGAAAAATATGTCAAAAACAAACCATGCACTTATTCTTTGATATGATGTTAGGTAATTCAGAAAATCTGGTCATAGGCTTTAGACCAACACAAGCCGAAACCACTTGGGAATATAGTAACAGCTAGTACTATAGAAGTTCGTCACAAGAATTATGAATACTGCAAGAACAAACCTGGCTGGTAAGTTGATCTGCCAAGAATAAATCAGGTAGTGTTACCTGCAACATCGACATAGTGAAATGAAATCACCCCATACTTCATGAAGTTTATGTATTTGTGTCTGGTTTGTCTTAAGTCAGTGTGCTTACCTTGTAAAATGGAGCACAAATACAATGAAAAGCACACTGAATCAAGACGAAGCGGCTCGATCAGTATATGATGTTGAAAGGGCAGAATGTTATGCAAATCAAAACCTGTCGAGTGGAGTCCTTCGTCTAATTAATTACCAAATTAAGCCTTCTCCTACTAACAAACTTTCCACCTTCAAATGCATAAGTATCGACATTGGATGACTGGAGCAATTTCATTCAATCTTACCACGACCAACCCGAGGGGAACTAACTCTGTCAATGCCTTGTAGCTTTTCGTATTTGGGTCCATATCCATATCAAGATTAGACAGAACCCCCGCCAACATTAAGACTGAGAGCCCGGAACTAAGAAGGAGGACTTCTCGATAACCCAGTTCTGTCCCTTTTTTGAATCCAAATATAAAGGGATAATTGATCCGATAGCGCCTCCAAAAGTATATGTTTGCGGCATACATCACCATATGCAAGATAATGAATCCGAACAAGCTGCAGAAAGAAGGTATTCCGAAATGATTCATCGATCCATTTAACTCAATATGCCATCCTATTGTCTCCCAATAAAGAAGATGTTTCAAAAGTTTCCATTGTTCAAATGGTAATGAACCTGAAAGAACCATTTTAACTCGCCTATAAAGGGGAAACATAGTATTCATGTACTGGTCGCGCCTGGGACTTTTTAGGAGATCTCTTGCATGTACAGCCACTATAATGCCCACTATAAGAGCCAATGAGCATCCAGTGAAGCAACCTACAAGCACCAGATAAACAGAAAAATGTACCTTGATATACATAACTGATAAGAACCCAGGTAGAAAGAGGCATTCACAGGCTCACAAATCGAAAGAGTTTATTAGCCTTGTCTCGCACTTACAGAGAGAGAAAGCATAGAATAGTTCATTATTTTAACTAATGACGTTTCTTCTTGTATATGTTTACCTAGAAAGAATGTAATTCTATGCTTCTCTCTCTTAGCTGTTGGTCTTAGGGTTCTCATCCCTTTACGGTGGTTTCCATTAGCAAAATGCTTAATAAATGCAGCTTCAACTCTGTCCATAAGCCTTGAAACCTGGGGTTCAAAAGATGATCCAAATTTTCTCTTATTGAGAAGGGTGTCAATATTGGGAAAAAGTAC